AATAACCTCATTAAAGCTGACAAATGCTTAAAAAAAATTTTAGATAAGCAGCGAGCGAGTGCTTAAGTGAATCGCATACCAATAACATTTTTCTTTTTAAAAAAATTTTATATTAACAAGTATCAAATTACAGTAGCTCTTATCTGTATGTCAAGTAACTTTGTTATTTATTTAATCGTGACAAGTTTTGTCTAAATTTGCATTTGAAATGTTTGCATTCTTACAAGGAGATTGTCTAAATTTTATTCAAAAATTTTTATTTTACAATTTTCTCTTAAAGTAGAACAATGTTTGTTATTTTTTGAGAGTTTGTTTATCGATAATGATTTTAGGCAATTTTGTAAAATATGGATTGATTAATTAATTAAAGAAATTGATTTTTACAATGAATTAGACCAGTGGTTCTCAGCCTTTCTGAGGCCATGGAACACCGTTCATGTATCTTTTATTATGTGGAGCATTAGCATCAATATATTTAAAAATTGATAAGCAATTATATGTTTGATCAATACAAAACCTTCCTCACTTATTTCTAGCCATTTATACACGAGTACGAACGAGTAAACGGCTAGAAATAAGTGAGGAAGGTTTTGTATTGATCATCTTAAAATAGTTCTAGCTACAAATGCATAGAAATTATATGTTTACTCTTCTCATGTAACAATAAAGCAATAAACTAATAAATGTTGTTGTATTGAATAGAACAGTAAACATGGAATTGTCTATGAATAAAATATGTTGAAGTACACTGGAATAAATTTTCAATAAAGATTTTAAAAAATTTTTTTCTCCATGGAACATTGGGCAAGTTTGCTGAATACCATATTCCATGGAACATGGACAGATCTTAAGATCATTTTGATTTAATAGATTAAAATTGCTCTCATTAATTAAACTAGATTTCGATTTGCAACTTTGCCATGAGATATTAATTTAAAAATTTTAGTTAATTTATTAGAATTTTATTTTGCTTTTTCTTTTCTCTTCAGAAATATGTTATTTTACACAGGAATTAAGTTGCCTCAAACAAGTACATAAACTTTGCATTCAGCTAGTTAGTTTGCATCAATAACAGGAACTTAGCATTTTTTAAAAATTTTTTGATACATGCAATTTATTAAAATTAAAGCAGAACATAATCTCTCATGTGAGTCATTATCTGAATATATGTGTGCAGGATATTATTTGGCCTTGGATATAATCAAAATACATAAATATCAACACTTGCGTGTGTATAATGCTTAGCTGTCAGAATTATTTATGGAAACTCCAATCTTAAATATTTAACACAACTCGTATCTCTAAACCTTTTAGGATCTGTTAGGGACTCTAAACCGTTAGGGTATCGTCACCTGAAGAAGAACCGTAACGGTTCGAAAATGTTTGTAACTGTTATAGAGTGAGATGATACGTGCACCGGTAAAAGGTTTAGAGATAAGAGTTGTGTTACATTACTACGGTGCTGATATTCCAACATTAGTTAAATATTTAAAATAACAGGCAATGAAAAATTCTGGATATTCTGAGCTATCAATGTAGTAAAGGCAAATTACATTCAACAATCAATTTTTACATCCAACAAAAATATTTAATATATTTTACTAAAAATATTTTTAAAAGTAGACAACAATGGAAGAAAATGCTATTAAAGAAACAAAGCATATTAACCTTATTATAATATTTATTTTAAAATTATAAGTGAACTTTGCTTTCTTTGTATTAAAATATAAAAATTGAATAATTGGATTTAAGAAAATTCCAAGAATTGATTCCCTTTTAAGCATTTAATGGAGTGTATAGAAGAAAAAAAGCTTTTTAAATTGATACAGCTGCTGATACAATTGCCTAAGCATCAAATATGATTACTTGGCAGACTAAAGTACTGTGTGTTAACGAAATTTAAGAATCTGCGCTTGACGTAATAACTGATACGTTGGTAGTGTCTGTTTTAATTATGTTTAAATCCTTTGCTAGATTTTGTTTCTATTTGTTACTAAGTTTTATTTAGATAATTGATTTTTGAAGGTATTTGAAAAATTGGGTCAGCATTTTAACAGAAAAGCTAAATGCCATTAAAGATCTTTAAAAATGTTAAACAGCATTAAAGTTTAAACTGCTACTGACTTTAGTAAGATTGTATTTGTTTAAATCTTAGTCGTTGTGTATGGATTTTGTTCAGTTATAATTACTTTCATAATTTAAACTGTTTATTCTTTAAGAGAAGAGCTTAATGCTGTTGTAAATGATTAACCATATGGTCAAAACATAGTTAAAATTATTTTTGCTGTGTGTGTCACTTGATACACAAATTCCTTCAATAATGTTGTCATTCATAGAGCAAGTTATATTTTTAAAAAAATTTTTGTCTGTAATATTTAACCTTGTTTATCAGTCACGTTGTATTCTACAATTAATAATTTTTAATCATATTAAAATTCAGCACATTTTAAAGGACGACATGACAGTTTATTACAAAGGAAGCGTTGATTTATGACTGCTTGTAAATTTACTCAAACCTTAATAAAAAAAATTCTCCAACTTCTTTATCAAAATAATTATATAAAATACATTAAGATAAGTTTTATGAACAGATGCGTTTGTTTTTCCACTCTTAATAAGCACGTTATTTAGAGTAATAGATGATATTATGCATTATATATGATACTTTAAGGTGATTATTTAATGATATAATTTTTTAAATGAGATACTCTAATCTTTAATTTAGTTTAATTAAACATTTTGCCCCATATTCATGTAGCCACTATTATTTTACTTTAAGCAAAGACTTTCATTAAGCTTTGTAAATGTGAAAATTTGTGTATATGAATTAAAATCTGAACAACTGACTTGCATATGAAACATCCAACATACGAGGTCTGTCCCAAAAGTAAGTATACTGATTTTTTATTTCAAAATATAGAAGAGTTAAATCAAATTACAAATGATCTCCTTCAAAATACAACCCGTGCAAAGTCACACAGTAGTTCCAAGTTTTTTCAATCGGTTTTAGCAGTACTTGAAGTCGTTTTCTGTAAGGGTGTTTAGTTCATCAGTTCAACTTTTTTGATGTTTTCCACTATCCCGAAATGATGACCTTTTAACGTGGATTTTATCTTAGGGTATAGGTAGAAGTTGCATGGAACAAGGTTCATACTGTAGAGGTTGTGGGCCAGTGGGGATTTTTTCTAGGCCAAAAAACTCTTGAATTGATAGTGCTGTGCAAACAGGTGCATTATCATGGTGCAGTATCCAATCTTCTGCAATGTCCCTGCAGACTTGCTTAACCCATTTTCAAAGTCATTACAAAACATCTTTGTAGAAGACCTGATTAACTGTCTGTCCTGAAGATAAAAATTCTTTCTGTGCAATTCCACAGCTATAAAAAAAATGATAAGCATCATCTTTACCTTGGATCTTTGTGCCATCTAAACACCATGTTTCTCAATAAGATGGCATCTCCATAGGCTTTGGTAAAACTGTCAAATGTCTTGGTTGCAGATTTCTTGAATTTCACACAAAACTTGATAGCGTAATGTTGTTTGAGATTTTTCTCCGTTTCAAATGTAACGATGTGTTAATACATTATCTTACAGAAACTGAGATTGTGTACGTTTGTCTTAACCAATAAACTTGAAACAGGTTTAGATATGCTACTAAGATCAACGTAAAAATACCAATTAATGATGTGTTAAGCTGCACAGTCATTAAATAAAAAATCAGTATACTTACTTTTGGGACAGACCAAGTATATGTAAGAAACCTGTACTTTTTAGGGTTTTTGATTTAAAAATAAGGAACAGTAAGGTTAATCTGGTGATAGTTTGCATATCTATTTTTGATTCTATATGGGAAAAAATTAATGAGAAAAATGGCAAGATTTCCTAATTTACTATCATAATTACTATACTATTGAAAAATTGCTTATGTAACAAAATGATTACATTAATTTTTTTCCAATGAAAAACAATAGATCTTTATATGGAAGTAAAAATTTTACAAAGGCAACTAATATTAGAAATTAATAAAACTTAGCGGTGACTAAGAAGAGATGTCAGGAAATTGGAATCGCCTTTTGAACTTTATTACTCATAAATAGAAAGTGAGATCATCGATGAGTTATAGTATGATAATTTTATAAAATAATTGCAAAAATTCCGTTTTTAGTTATGTAACTTTACTGTAAAAGATATAGTTCAAATAATTGTGTCAAATAAGGAATATGGTTTTGTCTTTAAATTGCTATCAAATAGTTGTTTATCAAACTTACTTTCCTATTCATGTAATGCTTCACTAAGCTAGCACATGTATGAATTTTATTACTTTTTACTGGCAGCTGGCTAGTCGGAAATGTATTAAAATGATTGAAATGTGAAAGAGGATGTTGCTATTCTGTTCAAAAGAGCAAAAGGAAATGTTAAATAAAATTTATGGATTATTTTAACAGTTTTAGTACTATTTTCTAGTAGCATAATTAATTTAATACTTGTTTTTTTTTTCTGTTTTACTGATTATATTCTAATCTTTACTTTGCATGCAATTACCTTAGTGATTAGAAATTCATATTGTTTGGATGATTATCAGATTATTATTTTCCTTTTGCAAGTCATAAGGTGTTTGGCAAGTCTCATTGCTTTATGCCGTCTGTGGCACATTTTTTTTAAACTTCCTGTTGTTTTGCCAGTAATGCAAATGTATCAACAAAGTCAGAATAAATTGAATTTGCATACATGTTTGTTTCCCGAGGGTAATTGTTTTTATGTAATGCACCTACTTGTTTGATAGTGACAATATGTACAGTACATCTGTTCTATAATTACGACGGAAATTGAAGGAGAAAAAGTTGTACTAGGTACACTATTGATAATTCTAAATGATATTAATAAAACAGTATCTAATAGATACCAAGGCTTAAAAAAATGAAGGAATTTGAGTTTTTTGCATTCAAATTAGCCTTATTTAGGACAATGTCATGTTGTTTATAATGAATGTTTTTATTACAGCTTGATAAAGATGGAAATGGATTTTTGGACATGAGCGAACTCAAGCAGGCTCTGGAGATAGTAGGCTTCAAGATCCCACAATGGAAAGTTCGACAGATGATTGATGACCTTGAAAGAGGACAAGTGGGGGATAAAAAAGGAAGGTTATCCTTTGAAGAATTTCAACAGGTAATTATATTTTCACATTATAATGATGTTTTTCAAGATTATTACTACTTTAATGTCAGTTTAATTTTATTATTATTATTATTATTTGGGGTTAGGCACAAATGTCTTAATGTTTAGTTAGTCTACAGGGTGGTTCGTAACAGAAAAGTACCTTGTCAGAAATGCACATTATGTGTCTTATACTGTAAGTGGGTAATCTGGAACTTACGCAAGTAGTTGTGTTGGAAACCTGATAAGTTTGGAATGTGCAAAGAAAATGTACTTGCATTCTTTTATATTATGTTAATTCAAAGTAAGTTTTGAAGCTTACCGTTTGAGCAGTTGTCATGGAATAAGTATATTTTATGTTTAAAATGTTAATTTTAATGTCGTAGAGCTATAAAATACTAATCAAAAGTCTGTTTGTTTTTTCTTCTAAACACAAACTACCAGACATTGAAATCAAAGCCATTTTTTTTATGTCATACATAAAGATAACCTCATTTAACTCTGCAATTGATCAAGGTTAATTGTGCGTTATTTTTAGGAAACTTTAAGGTAAATTAAAGAAAAATCACACTTGTTTTCTTTAGACAATTAATTATATTTTAATAAGGGGAGGAAAATTATTAAAATGTAAATTTTCCTTGTAGTTAGCCTTCAGATATATTTGCCTGTTATATGCTTAGATATTTATAAAATTTCACATAAATATTTTAACTAGATTTATTTCAATATAAATTAATATGGAAATCTAATGTATCTTGTAATAAGTTCGTGCTTCATGTAACAGCATAAGGAGGTCACCGGTAAACAAATGCAGCAGGTGTATAAAATAATGTCATTTTTATCATTGTAGAGTTGCATTAATATTACACTAATATTACATTAATATATTTTGAATGAGACATTAAATGTTCCACTCTAATTTACTTATTATTTTTTTCTGTTTGTAAACTTGAATGGTGTGTTATTTTAATGGTTCACTCTGGAAATAAGAATTTGAATAAATTAATCTAGATACAAAAAATGCTTTGATTGTCTTTAATGTGCTGTGTACAAAAAGTAGGAAGAGATTAAATAAAATTAAATATATACCAGCCACAGAAAATTTTTACTGTAAAGAACCTTCATTTATGGATTCTATGAGATTTTATAAGAGTAAATGCACTAAAATATCTCAGCAAGTATTTAGATTACTGCAAATTTGTATGCAAGAAACTCTGCTTAGAGAATTTAGTATAATTGATATATATATATTCTTTTCAAAGGCTTTTGAAGTCATCCAGTTGTACTAATTTGTGTGAAAAAGATTAAAGGATTTATTTTTTTTAAAGAATATGTCCTTTAATCTTTGTCCTACAAACTGGATTTTGTCTTCTTTTTAATGTTTATATCCTAGATCTTAAGTATAGAAATATTAGATCTTTGGCATAATTAAAATAAATGACTTTACCTTTTTACAATTTCTGTATTCAATTGTTTTTCTCTAGTGAGAACTTTTGTAAGAATTAATTATTTTTGTAGTTGTTTGTGTGCTTTACAACAGTATTTTTTAAATTAAATTAGTAATTAATCTTTACATGAAGTTAACAAAGAAAGAACTGTACACAAATTATAGTACACAAGTTATAGTTAAACATTCAGGTTTTGATTATTAAAAAAATATCAATCTATCTTGCATGTGGAATTTGTATTAATAGTGTCTTATGCTTAAATTTTGACATGTTGAAAATTGTTTTAATAGGTTTGTATGGATATAAAGTCCAGAGATGTTGCCAATACTTTTAAATCGATGGTAACAAAGAGAGAAAATGTCGAAACACTTGGTGGTATGTCGGAAGCATCCAGCGAAGGAACTACACATTCTGTCAGACACGAAGAACAAGTTGCCTTCTCCGATTGGATAAATAGGTATTGAATTGAATAGTTGCTGAGTTTATTGTACTCAATCTTTTCTCCTTTTATATAACACGATAGTTTCCTTTCAACTTAATAAAAGCTATTTTTGTGTCATTATGAATAGCTTTCGTAACTGCAAATTTTTTTTCCCTCCATTCATCTTTGAATGAATTAAAATGCTTTTAGTTTGGAATTTCTTTGCTTATTCAACATTTAATAAAGTGTGTTGTGAGTGTTTTGATGTGTTTTTTAATGAAAATTTAATATTAAAATATTTCTAGTTTTATAAATTAAAGATTTTATTAAAGAAATATTTTAAATTTTTATTAGTAACTTAAAAAACGACCAAGATTTGAAGCATCTCCTGCCCATTGACATCGAAGGTAAATTACTCTACGACAAAGTAAAAGATGGAATTTTACTATGGTATGTAGGATAATTAATTTTTATTATATTGTTCTAAATTGGTTAGTTTAATTAACCTCTTTAACCAGAAAGTAAAAAGTGAACGACCTTTAAACTGCTTAATTAATTAGTTTACGGCCTATATATCTGCACGTGTAAATTTAACTCTTGTTTATATATATCCTTTAATTAATTTTTTTTATTGAGGTAAATGCGATGACAAAATTAAATCTGTATGCTTAAAAACTTTTCGTTTCGCAGCAAAATTATCAACCATTCCTGCCCAGATACGATCGACGAGCGTGCAATCAACAAGAAGAATCTGACAGTTTATACTAAACACGAAAACTTAACACTGGCTCTAAATTCCTCTCAGGCTATTGGATGCAATATTATCAATATAGATGCGCACGACCTGTTGAAAGGAAAACCTCACCTAGTGTTGGGTCTCATCTGGCAAATCATACGAGTAAGCATTTTGATTTTCTCAAGAAGTTCTGTAACTGTTTGATTAAATAACAACAAAAAGCATTCAAGAAATGAGGGAATAAATATTTAATCATAACTTAAATTTCTTTTTCATAATAATAATTTTATACAAATTGAATTTTTGTTTACAAGGTAATTTTATCACTGCTATTACTGTATACTGTTAATATGAAATATGTGAAAAGCAACAACACTGTTCATATATATTATGTCTGTATATTGTTAAACAGTATGAGAATTAATTAACCTATTATTATTATTATTAACCTATATACAAGTTTATAGGAAGTAACACGTAAAAAAAGCAATAGCTTTCTTCATTTACAAAATAAATAATTCATTCCAAACATGATGTAAAAACTTTTAGATTCTGTGCTGTTTGCATGTTTAATTCAACATACAATACAGAAGTCTGCAATGTAATATAGATAAGATTCAATATAATATAGAAATTTGTAGACTTCTATGTTAGTTTAAAATGGAATAAATTCCTTTTTAAAATGCTATTACTATAAAAATAAACATTTTATGAATCTATATTATTATATTAAAAAATGATAAAAATTAATTGTAGAAATCTTGGTTACACTTCAATAAACTGATTTTTATGGGAAAAAATTTTGGGTAATTTTGAAAATGTTAATCTTGTGTTTTAAATATATTAATACTAAAGTTTAAATTCACTTGAAATCATCAAAATTATAAAGTATATAAAATTTTTCCTTTTCCAGTTTTGAGTTTAAGGTAATATAAAGATGATTCCTTGGATATAAACAAAAGATACTAAAGGGTTAATATTATAGCTATTTCTAGCCCGATAATATTTGGTATTGGTTGGTGTATAGCTTTAAACTATATTGGGTGTAGTGACTATGTTTTGTTGATTTGTTCATACTCATAACAGTGTGAGTGATGTCATCAGACATGTCTATAACAAACAATTAGTGAAAATTTAATGGGTCTAATTGATTTTAGATTCACACCAGGATTCCTATAGTGACAAGTTGATACCTTCTACCACCTTATTCATTTTTTATCAAGTTATTAGAATTGAACTCTCATTTCTTTTGTATTTTACATTAGCTATATTGACCTGGCAGTAAATTTATATTAAGGGCTGTTCTTTCTTTATCAATTCATATATTTGAATCCTATTTTGGAAACAAATTCAGTGTACATAGTGTGATTCTTTTGAGGACATTGTCAAGATGCTTTCTTGTGTCCTAATCAGAGCAATGATAACATACTATATAAGTAAAAGGATGTCAATGCAGATTGTAATCATGTGGTATTATGTTCAGCAAGGAGCAATAGTGTTTATGTTAATTGTCTGTATTCATACAGAATATAAGAGAAAATGAAGATCATAGATCTATCAAAGGATACATAGAACATGTATAGAGGGTATGGTACATGGAAAAAATGGGTTAGAGGTAAATAATGACAATTTCATCTTAACAAAATCTAAACCCTATGTACTGTGTCCAGTTGATAATGTAGAGTTAATGCAGTTCAATTTAGCAAGGTTTTAGTATAATAAGAAAAATTATATTATAAATAGGAACCAGTAATTTTTACTTTCCTGGCTGTTATATATAACAGAGAGAAAGTATGGTAATCAGTCAAAAAATGACCTTCTGAAATTTTTACAATTTTAGACTTGGGTCCTTGAAACATCAAGTAATGTAATTTGAGATTTTTTTTCTGTATGTTTTGATGTTAGTATATGGGGCAAAATTTTATTCAGCCAATTTGAAGCAAATAATTCCTGTGCCTTTTGTCAAAAATTTCTGAAATTTTGCAGAGGGTTTGTGTATTAGAGGTATTGTTGCTTTTAAATTTTGATGGTTAAAGGTTGAGAGGGTTGGAAGATATAGGAGATTGTATCATATTAGTTTTAAAGTGTTGTTACCTGGAAAGTTAAGCAACTGATTGCTGGTGCTGGATTTTTTTATTTGTTAATTAGCTGTTACTCAAATATTTTCCAAGTGAAAAATATCAATTTAAGTACACAAACATTTATTGATGTATACATTTTATAATAAAAAATAGTTTAACAGTACAAAATTATAAAAATAAACAAAATTATTTTATTCATTTATGTAGAAGTTGTCATTTTCTGATAGTAATTGACAAGACTGTCTTGTTTATAGAATCATACTGCCATTTTATGTTACCAGCATAGAGGTTTGAAGGAGTACATGTCGAGAGTTGATATTTGGCACAGAGTATTAAGTGCCCAAATCATCTGTGCATAAAAAAATCCAGATTTTTATGTAGTCAGGGACTGAGAACAGAGTCAAAATAAAATGCAAAATGGCGACCCTCTTCTACAAACAGGCAAAACAGCCACCTCACCCATTGAAGTCAGGTGGGGAGAGTACACCCACAGTCATTCTAAGAAGTGAACTCCGACCTTAGGACTGAACATGTAGTTTCTTCTATGTTAAATAAAATTTGTAATCTAATTTTGTAAATTTGGGAGTGCTTCAAATATAATGTTAAAATGGTTTTATGTTGTTACAAGTGGGTTTATTTAACATTATCTAGTATAGTAAAATTGTGGGACCGATAAAAATTTGACATTTATATTAGGGTTGTTGTTACGTCCGATGACATTATAATTGGGTTAAACTGTATATTATTTGTGCAAAAAACAAAAATAATTTCGGACAATACAATAGCCACGATTATTTTTTTCAAAAACTGGAAATTTTCGTTATGCATCAACAAAAATTTAACCCGGGCTGACATGCAACGAAGAAAAATTTTGAAATTGGATAGGTTAATTTCATTGAAGATGCATCATGGACAACCTCGTGGTTGTGGTCGGCGAAGTTGAATGATCGCGCCCAAAAGCAGCAATACCAAAGAAGATTGGAGAATGGTAACGAGACCCGCCTTGAGTGTCAAAGTGATTTCACTTAGTAGTGAGTCTCCATGACATAGTCTTGTCCCAAATATGGTTTTGCTGTTTTACTTGTTTTGATTATAAAATTTAGAATGGAGCATTTGAATTAATTTAATTTGATAATCTGAAAAAACAAAATTAGAATTTAAAACTGTAATACTTGTAGGTTGGACAAGATTGTTTCCTTCAAAATAAGCCTTTTAAATATATGATGATTTGATGTAGCATTTTAACCTTGGTGTTCATTATATCTGTAGATCTGTTCAAATAATACAACAATTATTCAAAAATTGCATACCTATCAGCATAATGCATATAGTCTTCCAAAATGAAAATTACAATAATTTATAATGGTAGCAAGGTTAATTACTATCTGAGAATATTGTAATGTACATTAAAACATTGAAAAATCACCCAAGTTTCACATTTGTCCATTGCAATTTCTATGTCTGTGAACCTTGTGTCACACATCTGATTGATACTACTACTAATGCTCTCTACAGTATATCTAGTATCAATCTTGCAGATTACTTATGCTGCACAATGACAAGTGATTCAGACTTTGCAAACTGAAGAATGCAAAATGCCTTCTCTGTTCTGGTTTTTGTTTATTGCTTCCTAGTGTTAGTATTGATAGGTGACAAGACATTTGAGTGCATGTGGGAGATGAAACTCAGATTACTCTATCAATTGGTGTATGTTGTATACTTCTCGAATAATTATTAATGTAAATACAGTAATTTAAAATGGTAACATTCATTTTGAGAGACCCTGTATTTAACAGAAGTAAACAACTGTTAAACATTGACAATTCTCTCAGAAATTACACCAAATTATTGATTAACTATACAATTTATATTGTGCCATATTCAATCAATAATGTAACTCATTCTGAATTATATAATTGTCAATGTCATCAAATACATTATGCTGTTTCATGCCAAATTATTTTCTTCAACGACAACATTTTTATAATAATTAAATTATCCATTAAGTGCTAAGTTGCATAAAAATTCCATTTAATAAAATTAATATAGTTAAGAACGAAGAAGTCAAATTTATTAAGACAAATGTAATTCAAACTACTTTTTGTATGGAATTGCCAGATACGTCATCTTTTGTGTCATATTATTTATCATAAAAACTGATTACAAATTTCAAGTTGTGTTNTATAAATAAATTAATTAATTTAAATAATTTAGAACCGCTGGGAGAAAAAATCGGCCCGGAGCGGGACTCGAACCCACAACTCCTGCTTACCGTGCAGATGCGTTGCCAGTTACGCTATCCGGACCTCCGGTCCGATCTCCTCTTCCAGCGTATAACTATGTAACCATCGACGGTTATTACAATGCCGGCTGGGGACACATTCAGTGCCCACGTCCTACTCCTATAAGGCACTCAACCTTGTGGGTTCGAGTCCCGCTCCGGGCCGATTTTTTTTCTCCCAGAGGTTCTAAATTATTTAAATTAATTAATTAATTTATTTATAATTATTAATATTAATAAGTGATGGCGCCTAACGCTTACCTCTAGTGCCAAATTAATTTCGTAATTTATTTAGTAATTAGCCTTAAAACTAGCCTGATGGATTTACGGCATACGTTTGGTGATTAGCTATATTACATCGGGTTTAAAAGATGTTTATAAGTATTGATTGGCTTGTTTTCAGAGTTGTCAATTTGACAAAATTTATTTTTGGATTAATAAAATAAATTAAATTACTTTAAAAAATATTTATTTTATATAAACTAAAGAAATAGTAACAGCAAATTTGTTTATAATAATGCATTCAAGTTTATTATTTACTTCATTGATTAATTTTATATAAAAAGAGAATATTTTCAAACCTCTATAATAAAATTCTGAATAAAGAATTTTGTTTTAGCAAAGAGACATGCTGACTCGTGCAGAGACAATGTTACAACAGGCAGAAAAGATTGGATGCAGAAGTTTCCTGACACCAAATGATGTCGTTGAAGGTGTCTATAAATTAAATTTAGCCTTTGTTGCCAATCTGTTCAACAATCATCCTGGCCTCGATCAGCCTGACGAACCAATTGAATTTATCAACTTGGAGGAAACCAGAGAAGAGAAAAGTAAATGTTTCTTAAATATAAAGCATTATATTTAATAAAAATAAAGTTAGTAATTATTTATTTCATTGAAAATGAATGAAACAGTAACTCAAAATTTGTTTTAGGAATAATGCACTTATTGTAAGATAAGTGGTGAAGATTATTAAGTAGCTAGTTTTGATTGCAATGAAATGTACATACAGTAACTTGATAAACCTGCTTGGTTTTTATCGAATTATATTAAGGCTAATTAATAATTTGAAAAGCAGTCACCATATTTGAGTTTTTGTGTGAAGCTGAAACAGAAAACCTACACTGTGGAGCTCTGTTTTGTTTTCCTAAAAAATATCTAGTTTTTTGTTATTAAATCTGATACAGGATGGCAGCTTAACTTGCTACTTTTTGGTCAAAATTATGTAATATCTTTTTAATTAATTACCCATATTATGGCCTGGTTAAATTCCTATTGTCTCATTTGTTTATTACTATAAGCCCTGATTTTATATGTAATTGTGTTCTGACTTGTTGTTATAAATAAAAATTGAGCTTTCTGGTCTCTTAAGAATTTATTAATAAGAGTAATTTATTACATAGTTGGGTTAGAGGTGGTTTAGTAGTATTTTAATGAAAAATTAATTAATTTGACAGAAGGATTTTGAAGGTTAAACTGGTTTCACAACAACAAAGATGAGCCAGAAAGTCCAGAAAATATAAAATTACATTTAATTCTTTGTAGATTCAATACCTACTTTTTTATGATTTAAAACAATTTTAGTTACTTTTAGCTTACAGAAACTGGATGAATAGTATGGGAGTGAGCCCATATGTTAATTGGTTGTATAGTGATTTAGCTGATGGACTAGTTATATTTCAGGTATGAGAAATTTAATGTTTATAAGTATGTTTTGGTAACAATAAAATATTTTTGTATTTGGTAAATAATAATTGTATATTGCTTTTTTATTCAGCTGTATGATATCATTAAACCTGGAATTGTAGATTGGAACAAGGTCCATAAATCATTTAACAGGTTAAAAGCTTTTATGGAAAAATTAGAAAACTGTAATTACACGGTTGAGCTCGGCAAGCAGTTGAAGTTCTCTCTGGTAGGCATTGCGGGTCAGGATATCTCCGAGGGTAATCCCACTCTCACACTAGGTAAGTTGCAATATTTACGACTGTTTCGATTGCTTGTTTAAAATATCTGCCATTTAAAAATATACACGTGATCCTTCCAATTTTCAGCACTTGTGTGGCAGTTGATGAGAGCTTACACGCTGAACATACTCACCCAACTTGCCAACACAGGACATCCTCTTGTGGAGAGAGAAATTGTAGACTGGGTGAACAACAAGGTAAAAACTATTCATCTTTTGCATTGATTTGTATTAATATTATCATTATGAATCTATAATCACTAAAAATAAATATTTTCAGTTAAGAGTATATTTTTTACTTGTTTTTATCTATTTCTGACTTTGAGGATTCTACAGGTCAAAACCGGCAAATAAGCGACAAGAAATAAATTAAACTTTTATCATTACCATTGACTTTATTATATAATTGACACATTCCAAATGCATTTTGCCTTTTTCAGTAGGCCTCCTCAGTGGATACATCAAGATATAAGTCATTGGTCACACTTTATATCCAGTAACCGTTCCCAGCATGCATCAATGACCATCCCAGTATTCAAATTAAGTACATTTGTATATTCGGTGATGCAAAAATGTTCAACAATTTTTCTTTCTAAAAAATTTTCTATTTTATACAATATTTTAATATTTTTTCTATCTATATTACAATTAAATTCTGTACAATGTAAAAACCAATGCCAATTCCATCCTTCTCAGTCTGATGGCCGCCTCATGTTCCTTTACTCTCAACTATAATCTTATTCCGGTTTCTCTGATGTAATAATTTGGATTTCCACATGTACATGACATTCTGTATACAACACTGACAATTTTATATTGGTCTCTGGGTGAATTTATATCTTCACTGTTTATTCTGATCTTTACTGTTCACTGATGTTTATATCTTCACTGTTCACTGTGTATACTGATAATATTTGACATCTTATTCTTTTGATTTGCAACTATGCATATAGAAAATTCTTTAAAGATCAATTTATATTTTTCAAAAATATTAGTAACATAAGGAAACTTTATATAAGAAATATTTTTTATGTCATTTTTAACATTAAATCTACATATTTTTACTTGTTTTTAATTGAAAATATTTATTTATAGTGTTTATTGAAATATACCGATCCCATTGGTTCTAATTATTGAATTTATTACATTATTAATCTGTTGTTTATACAGGTTCATAATAAAGTCCTTATACAACCAATAACTGACAATTGCAGATAGCTAGTTATGAATGATGTAAAATTGTAGTGAATAGTCACTACTATAAGATGAGACTGCTTGTAGCATCCCTAGTGGTACAATTAGGAAGTTAGCATTCCTATCTCAAAAATGATGTGTGATACAGATAAGTCAATTACAAAGTTGTAGAGCTTAACTGATTTTAGTAAAAAAGGACACCCTACATATATGAATAGCATGTATAGAAAGCATGAAGTGCTAATGTGCTCATTGAGCACAGACAGTAAAATGTGTTTTTCTTGTGCTCATTCACGTGTTCTCATTTTTTTTCTCATGTTATAATGTGTGTTTCCTATTTACTATGTTTTCATGCTACATTCATTACTGCATATCATATTGTGCATTGTTCACACATGTAAATGGACTTAAGGACATAGTACAGTGGTGCTTCGTATAATGTACTTACTCCATTCCAGGTGCACATCCATTAAGTGAAAAGTCCGTTATACGAAATGCATTTTCCCATAGAAATACATGTTAAAACATAATTCGTTCCACAGCATAAAATAACCATACTGTACCATTAAAAAAATGAAAATGGAACAGTCACCAATTATGCCCAGTAGTCAGATGATGTGAAGTGGAGGAACACTTTCTTTCCACATTCATACAGATAGACTTTTTACGCATTGCAGTGGGTCTTTTTTTATCGTTTTTTAATCGGATTCATATTCAGGAGAGGTTACCGGAGCTTGCAGGGTCAACTCCTCTTGTTCCATCCTTTGTTTTTTCCCTGCTGACTTCTTGAAAAACATGTCCAAGCTGGTCTGTTTCTCTCTCTTTTTCAACACCTGTCGGAAATGACGGGCAAGGGTGTCATTGTAGAGATCATTGATCCTGTTGGCCACAGCTCTGTTTGGATAATGAGTGTTGGTAAACTCCTTAACCTCTCCCCATTTGACAAGGAAGTTTTTGCCAACTTTCACTCCTGATGATTTCTTGCTTTGTTTCAATTGAAATCACCTTTCTGTTTTTTTAGAAGCCATGATTTGCACAACACTTGAATAAATGTAAATACCCTGCACTGAGGTGATGTACGTAATAAACAAGGGAGCAAGCTGAATCCCAACAGGATCTCTGTACTTCATATATACTAATAATATATTCTAATAATACTAATATATTATAAAAATAGCAGATTGTCATTGGCAATGGCAAAAGAGTGGAAACATCATTCGCACTTGTTCACAGAAAGACTGTTGTTTGCCTCATGTAACTGCCGAATGGAAAGTCCATTATTCGAGTCACATAATGGCCAAACAGAAAGTCCGTTTTTCACAGTGTCCGTTATTTGAGTCGTATGTTATACAAGGCACCACTGTATATTTAAAACCTTTAAGTATGGTTTTTATATATATATATAAAATGTGTGAAAATTTTTTTCATGTATATTTTGTTTAAGTAAGATATGCTTTAGGTTTCTGCAAATTAGCTTTATATGTCTGATACTTTGTTTTGATCATTTTGACATTTAAAAAATATAAATTGAACATGTCAGGACAATGATGATGAATAATCACAAGAAAAACTGCAGTGTTTTAAATTTAGTTTCCAGTATATTGAGTAAAGTTTTTTCTTTTTAGATTAAAAGTGCTGGGAAAAATTCCTTTATCAAAAGTTTCCAAGATCCAATAATAGCCACTGCCCATCCCGTTATCGATTTAATTGATGCCATTAAACCTGATTCTATTAATTACAGCCAAGTTAAATCGGGTGATACTGAAGAGGTGAGCAAAAACAATCTTAAGATATTCAAAGACTACATTAATTCTACCAATTCTTTATTTCAGTTAATTAATTAATAAAATTGAAATTTATTACCAGGAAAGAATGGACAATGCAAAATATGCAATATCCATGGCACGTAAAGCTGGTGCCCGCATCTATGCCTTGCCAGAGGACATCACAGAAGTGAAACCGAAAATGGTCATGACTGTCTTTGCGTGTCTCATGGCTCGTGATTACCTACCCAACATGGGAGAGAAGAATGGAACTTCTTCGAGTCCAGTCCGAGAATAGAGTAGCATTTTTTTTTTTGTTTTTTTTAAATTAATCTTGCCACTAGATCCGTAAAGAGTTTGAAATTTTGCCACATCAGAGATAGAATTGGAGAAGCCCAGTATATTCATTATCATGTAAATTTTTAGATTTAAAGTAATCGGGATAAGAGAAATGTGTGGTAGAACAAGATAATCATACGGTTCTTCTAATTTTAGCTACATAGTACTTCTGTTTGATATGTAAAGAAGCATTCATCATATTCTTAAATTATGGAAGATTATATATATATATAACTTGGCAGATTGATTAATCAAAAGAGAGAAAGTAGGAATTAACATGGCATTAAAATTTGAGAACTCTGAAATTGCAAATTTATCGGAATTTACAGTTATGAAGTTTGATATGTTAAGATTATATTTTGATTTTAGGCAATCTTCAAATATTCTGAACTCAACCGGGCTCAAAATTTTAACATTTGGGATATTTCAAAGTTTGTATTCTGAAAAGGTTTCGTATATGATTTTATTAACTCTACTGTTAAATATATAACATTAATTCTTATATTTCTCTCTTATGTTGTCGTAAGTATCGTGCAATGAGTTCAAAGTCATCCATGAAGTACTATAATTTTGAAAAAAATCAAACCAGAGTTTTAAATAATGCGTGTTTTAAAATCACGAATGGGACTAGAGTGCCTCACGCTTTTTTGGGGAACAAAGAATTTTAACGTCCACAGTGCCAGTTTTTTTAATCACTAAACTTTAACTCTCGGAGATCAATATTCTTTATCAGTGTATAGTTTTGATATCATTTATCAACATTATATATTGATATATGTCAATATTATAGTTTGTCATATATTGATGATGTTTTATTTAATATTATATTCATATAAATATACACTCTCTTCCACTTTTTTGTGGTTATCATTTAGTACAAAAACACTTTGAGAGAGAATTTTTTAATGGCTTTGAATTAATACTTTTTATACATTAGTTTTCACCAATTTTCTGATATGGATATTTGATACATAGCAAAGAATTCTGTACCATAGAACCTATTTCTCTCATTCCATCATAAAATGCCAACATTCCTTTATATTATATGCTAAATCCATGTCAATACTTTGTCTGGAAATAAAAGAAAAATTATTTCTATATTGTGTTTTGTGATTTTTGTTATTCAGGGTTTGGGTCTGGATCAATTTCTAGAAATTTTTATGGATATTCTGACATGCATTGTATTTATTCTATCTAGCATCTAGTTGATGGTTCTTAATCTCTCATGTAATGACCCCTTTAAATAGTCCATACCAACCCAGTAGAGAAGCACTGATGTAGTTGCTTTATTGCTGGCCTGATTGATTCCAAGATGTGCATGAATGAAAAGGCTGCAAGTGTCTCTAGGCTCGTGGTGATATAAATCAAAATTAAAGCAAATGCACAGTCAAAATTTTAATAGAATAATTATTTGTTTTTATATTATAATACAGATTGTTATTTAATATCATTTAAATTGCTGTTTCTAGAAATTTTACACTTTCTGAATAATTATTGGCAGTTTCAATATTAAACTGATATCTAATCTGACCAAGAAAGTCATGCTAAAATTTATTTAGTTTCCTTCAAATTTTTATCTGTAATTTAATTAAAATTACTGAAATCAGTAGTACATTTTTGACATCAAAACACTATTCAATGGAGATCAGAACTAATGGTGGAATTCAAGATCCACCAGAAGTTTTCTCTATTAAAACTATTTGAATTTATAACTGTAACCTGTAACCATATATATATATATATATATATATGTGTGTGTGTGTCGTTTGCCGACACCTAGCTCGCCAGATGTCGGCAAGCTAGTCAACAATCAAACCAACAACAATTATCATTTACTTTATATTTGTCAACAGATGGCGCTACAAGTAACTGATGCTAAATATACCCGAACATTTTGGGGGTAATATATATATATAGCTTTGAGTATTATTTTGACCCTGAAATAGACACTTACAAACTTTGATCTGGATCAGTTTAAGAATAAAAATTTGTATAAAGGAAAACGAAGAAGAATTGATGTATTGAGTGGAGCTTCTTCTTAGGATTCAGCCAGTAATCTGGCTGACACACTACATTGAAATGTCAGCATAAAGTTATAATTATTAATTAATGGAAACCAAAATCCACAAATAAGTACCTCCTGAACACAGAACTACCTCTTTATTTGTATTTCTTTATGGTACGTACAGTACTAGTTATCGCTATAGTCAGTCGAAAAGGTCGATTCTGCAGAACGAAACCATTCCTACCACGGTTCTGTTACTCGTGACGCAATCGACCCATTATGACGTCAACGAGTGACGTGTCATCATAATGGGTCTTAAAATTGAGATATAATATTAATAACAATTAAGACCTTTTTAACTTTATACGATTTAAAGTAATATCAAAATGTCTCAATTATGAAATTTAATTAAAGGTACAAGAATCGACATCTCTGATATTAAAAAGGCGGCGTGGTACAAGGATCTATCAAAAACCAAATTTAACGAAAATTGCAAGAATAAAAATAACTTTTTTAAAACTACTCTTGTAAAGGATAATTTCAAGGAAATTTTTCAATATGATATAGTTCTGCTGAATCACATTAATTAAATGAAAAAAATCTTGACATTTTTAACAAGGTGTAAGTCAATATCCATGTAACGTAGAAACTTCCTGATTGAAAAAAATCATGAAAAATATACTCTTAGGAGAGCTCTGGCTAGAATACCGGATAAATATACTGAATGCTATACAAGAAAAACTAGTTAATTTTTACTTTAGATATAAATTTCTTAACAGCCATTTCAGACTTGTATATAAATGTATACATTTGTTACAGTAGCGAGGTTGAGGCCGAAGTTTTAAACGCGAAAACGTGTACGTCGGACATTCCTTCCTGTAAACCTAGAAGTTTGACAATGGTTGGATAGTCAGTGGAAACATGCTTGACATTCCAAACACCATTGTCAAACTTCTAGGTTTACATGAAGGCGGCGCTGAATGTCCGACGTACACGTTTTCGCGTTTAAAACTTCGGCCTCAACCTCGCTAGTATGTTTCCAGTCAATTTTTTAAATCGTGTTCAGCGTCGAATAAAAGCCAATCTCGATAAAAAAAATTTAAGTATAAATTCAGGAAAGTGAGATTGAAAGTTTCCCAGAAGTGACAGATATACTATATGAAACATATAGGAAATGCAAATGCACTGCCTATTAGAAATAAACCTAGCCGAATGTTTTTTAGTCAATTTGTATTATCTTTGCCACTTTGTTTAACTTTTGAACTCGACGTTTGAAAAAACTTTCCTCCCCCTTACAATATGGCGGTTTGTTCTACAGTGAAGCTACTTCGCGCTTGGAGAGCGCCGCTAGTAGCAACAGAGCGCTGTCGCTTCAGTTAGATATTAAAATATCTTTATTTTGATTTCGAGTTTCTTTTAGACTTGTAAATGTTTTGAAATACAATCCCGAAATACAATCAATATACAATCCCGTTATAAATTCTATTACACTATGTAGAAACCTTGATTTAAATCCAGTAATCACGACAATCCTTACGCCGCGCATCGTACATAAAGGTTGTTTTTAAAATTTATTACACCTCAATAAAAACCAAATGGGGCAACAGGACTGTGATGGGCAGAGCCCAGTATGTCTAGGGCAGACCATCCCAGGAAAATTCCTGGGAGTTTTTTATCATCTGGATACGAACCCGTTCCTCACATAATGATAGATACGAGAAAAGCCCACATGACAAAATGAAAAAGAAAATGATAATAATATATAATGGAGAGGTTCAGAACAGATATTTATATGCACGTAACTAGCAATATTTAAAACATTTTTAATAATTTGAGGTATTTAGAGTAATGTTATATTCTGGAATGTATTTGAAATACTCGGAAATACCTCAAACATTAAATATTTCAAATATCATTTCAAGAGTCAAATAAGTTTTCACGAATACAAATACTTTATCTGAAATAATTTAGTAAAAGAATTTAAACTGCCAAATATACACAAAATATTTCAAATAAGAATTAAAATAATTTGAAATAACATTCTGCTCAATTCTCCATACGCATATTCCATGTTTGTTGTACCTGTACAGTACATACAGTATTGCTCGCGTATTAACGAGAGTTAGCATCAAATGTTGATCAATAACAGAAATTGAATCTCCTTTTCTGTTACCAAAATAAATAATAATGAATTCCTAAGGTTTCAAGTACAATTTTATTTAGTATAACTCAAATTTTTGTAATTGATACAGTATTAAAATAATTCATTGTAACTTCGGTATCGCTGATTTGCTTTGATAGTGGCACAATTAAGAAACTAAATTTCTTTTTACTAATTTTCTGAATTCATGATAAAAGTATTTTTACCTCCACTGGATACATACATATTTAACTGTTAATCAATTAGAATTCATTTGGGAAAGTGTTTAAAAAGTAACATTTTGTTTAATTGTAGTACTATCAAAGCAAATCAGTGATATACAATCCAAAACTACTGCCCCTTATGAATTATTGATAATCAATAACGATTTAAAAATCAATCACCTGTACAGTTATCTCGAGTGTTTCATCGATTGAATATGAAATATGCTATCGGACACGAGAATGCTATTTGAAAGATTTATTACAATGGCTTACGAAAGTCAATGATAAATAAATTATATCAGAATTTTCTTTGGTGGTGTAAGAATCTCTCGTTCAGAATGCATCATGATTCAAATAGGAAAGAATATAATTTCTTTTCAGTTTTCAATTCATCTAAAGAAAAGTTCTTAAATAAAAAAAAAATACTGTGAACTTTAATAAGACCCTGTACATAAATTAGTAATTAAGTCTACGTTCAGTGTTTGGTTCAGTTTTCAGTTTTATTTGTTTACTCACTAATCCGACATATGAGCGATCTGCCGAGAGGGTGACTCCCGGGAGGTCTTATGGAAAACAGGCCTCTAAGTGGTAGTTACTAACGTGAAAGACGTGAAAACTCCATGTGACCAGCCCAATAGCCAGGCGCATACCAGTGTTTTATGGTTTAATCCAGTCGGCCACTTATGGACTACACGATCAATGTTTAATTCTAGCTATTCCAATGATATCTCGTAATCGAACCCTTCAAGAATAAGTAAAAAATATACTCAAATATGCAACGAAACACAAGCCCCATTTGCATGAGTTGCTTTTTAAGACCATGTTGGAGCATGGCTCTTGTCTATGGTTTGCAACTTCACGAAACTTGTACTTGTCAAACTAATGAATTTTTCACTTTATACCATGCCAATTTCGGAACTAAATACGTTCGGTTCGTTGAATTCATTTTATGGGAACACGCCATTCTCATGTTGTGGCAAGCCATTCCTAGTTTAAACAACAAGGCATTTTGCAGAGGTTGGTACAATTTAATCAACGACGATTCAATAGAATTAAGAGTGGCAGTCGCCGTCATGTTTATCTCTTATGCTTCTGCATTCAGTTTTATGAAACGTAGAAAATGCGAAAGGGTAATCAATTTAAGAAACGAGATTTTTCGACACAAGTTTGTGAATGAAAAAAATATGATAATCGAAATGATCAGCCTATTAGTTTGTTTTATGGTTACTGTTTCTTCAACAATCTTTCAAATTTTAAATGGTGTTCTTATGTATCGAGCTGTAAAAAAAGTACAGCAATTTCATGGAGAAGCTGTCTTATGTACTGTCGAAGTCGGACTAACGTTAAATTTGTTTATCGGCGGAATTTCATACGCCGTTTTATTAATGTCATTATTGTTATTCATTTCCGGTAAAGAGTTTGAACATCTTCAACACGAACTCTCTTCTATTCAACTAAACAATGCCAATGTACAATTGAAATTGAACAACTTTATGATGAAACACGAAGATTTGTGGATCTTTTTAGAACAGTTTAATAGTAGATTGAATTTTCTACTGGAAATTTTGTACTTTGGGATCACATCCGGAACGAGTTTCTGCTATTACGTATTCATATTCGTCAGAGCAAATGAAAACATTAAATATGCAATATTTTTATTACTTATCGTGCTCACCTTCGTTTGCATAATTTACGGTTGCTTGTTCTGTTCTTTGGCATTTATGGTAAAATTCCCAATTCATTAGAAATTAATTATGACGTAATTATAATTGTTTGTATATGTTTCAGATGCAAAATACCTTTCAGGACATCAGACGATTTGCAAAATGTAATTTGGAACTGAAACAGAAACTAAAAGTATGTTTTACACTTCATTATAAATATTCTAATTATAGATTTATTGTTAAATAATTTCACATTTGCAGATTCTCGATTTTATGAAGCGATTTGGAAAGGTTTCCTTGACTCTTTCTATCGGTGGCTTTTATGTAATCAATAAGAAAATTCCTTTAAAGGTATCGTTATTAGAATTTTTTAAAGAATAATAGGAATTTTATATCCCCGGCTCCGATGAATAACATTAATATTTAGTAGCATGACATTACAGATGATACGGTAACATGTTCTTTTCTCAAGGTCTTCAATTGTTAATTATTATTACTATAATACGCTTTTTGTCTAGCTTGGTATATACTTGTGAACACTTTATATCTAGACTCATTACACAGTCTCTGGACACAAGATCTTAGAACATCAATTTATTAATACTTTCCAAAAAAGGGAAAAATTTTATTTATTCCTTTTAAATCTTTCCTTCTTTCCCCAAATTTATTTTCTTTTTCCGGAAAATAAATTGATGTTCTAAGGCTGTTTTTGTATCCAGAGACGGTGTAATTAGTTTATGAATAAAGAGGCCAGTATAGTGCTCACAAGTAGGCCTATATTTTAATTATTATCACTTCCAATTTTTATATACAATCATTTTATCTCTACGTAATTGAAAAGTTTAATTTCTTAATTATTTAATTTCGCTTATTTTGAATTTTCAGATGGCAAGTATCTTGCATTCTGTTTTTTCGACTTTTTTGAAACTCAGAAACATCTCGGATGGTAGAAGATGGTGTAAATATTTATACCTCACAAATTCTTCTCAAATAAATACTAACTTATTATAGTTTATTCTCATCAACGCTTTTTATAATAATTTCATTTATTAAAGCGTTTGGACATACATACATAAAAGAAAGACATTGGCCGTACACGAGGTGTTTAGCCGGCAGTAAAGAGAGTAAGGGAAAGGGGATGGGAAGGAGGAGGGAGAGGAGATAGTTAGTAGAGAAATATAGGATCCCTCTGAACGGCGTACGTATGGCTATAATACCCTCTATGTTTGATGTTGGCTTGCAGTTTTTAGGCTGCAAGGCCGTAGTCCACCGAAGAGTCTAAAAGAAAACCTGAGTGTAGAGAACACCAATGATTCAGTGCCGCCACGAATAGCTAAGTGTAGAAGTTAGTGCCAAGTGGCTGTTAGTAGTAAGACTTATATCTACTTAATGCTAATGAAACTGAACGTGGGTGCGTTTAGGCAGTAGCATAAGAATACATTTTAGATTGCTCGGTGGATTTTATAACTTTTCGTATTGAATTCTCATGTCTCTCTTTTTCTCCGAATACAGAAAGATACGCCAATATGTTCTAAGTTAATAAATGTTTTATCGAACAAAATGTTGAAATTGTTATACTTTCATCGATATTCTGCTGCGTTTAAAAATGAAAATTCCTAAATTTGACAGGTCGACCATTTTAATTACGACTTAATGAAGGAGTCGTCAGAAATCATTGCTGAAAACTACTGTAAAGAGAAGAAAAATCTGACGTCTTATCACTAAATGGTTGCTGAATTATTTTCAGAGATGTTCATGATGGCATAAACCAAAAACAAACCAAAAAAGGCGATAATAAAGTTGGAAATTTCATTTTAAACTGGAGGAGCTGCAGCCTTGTAACTCTTATGGACGAGCCGCCATTGGTAAATATACAGATGAGGATGAGGTTTTGTAGTTTTGTTTCTCAGATAATAAAAAATATAAACGAATGTCACTCATATGGATGATTTATAGCTGTGGATAGGAGAAGTTTCATGTCCACACCCGGTCAATAAACGCTTTGTTTTGTTCCTCGTCTTTGTTGTTTGCCACTAAAAAGTGTCCAGCCTTTCACATGTCCATTAATCGATTGCGACAGATTAAATACCTCTAGGCACCCAAAAGTAGCTATTGTTTTCATGTGGTCTCCACTCTACAAACAAGGTTCAGTCAATCTCATCCTCCTCTCCAGTATAGAATTTTTAGTATTCTATAAGTTCGTAGGAAAAACAATGAATATTTTATGGGTTTGATTAAACACACATATAAACATCAAATGCATAGGTTTTACTATAGCTGAGCTGGTGGCTTCGCACAAATACAAAAAGCATAACTAAGTCCGACTGAATATATATATATATGGTTCATTTCGCTCCAGAGAATAATGGTCAAGCGTTCACTGTGCTTTGAGTTACGAGCAGACAGCTTGATGACCTACGATACCTAGCAGTGTTTGACGTCATCGTCAAGTTTTTTGGCCATTCACATAAGCAAATAGACGTGTACGCCATTTACGTTTCACACCACTGACCATACATTTTTTCATTTCTTTTTGTACTCAAGACCGTGGAGCTTGGAACTTTTCTTCGGGTATAGAGAAAACTTAGATGCCCATTTAGACGGCCCTGCTCGTATTTAATTGTATACTCTATAGTCTTTCTGTTTCTCAGTTCTCTTGTATCTTCTTTAATTAAACCGAAAATCATAAACAAATTTTTCCTCATACATCGTTGGAATTATAATTTAATAAGTGAAGAGTCACAAACTTGTCCACTATAATTACTGTATTTTCACTCGGGCTGCAAGTATATTCTAAATTTATTTTAGTAAAATATACTAACAATAAAGGAGACTTGAACACATTCATCTTTTTTGTTGGCATTCTGTTTTATTTTTAAATATATTTATCTAATTTATTTAATATTAAACTGTGTGCGTTCTATCGAATATTTTAAATTAGATAGAGCGTGTCGATTTACTACAAAATTTGGGTGAATTCTCCCTATACATTTCTGATTAATGTACACTAATTTAATTTTATTTGCTATGATAATTTAAAATTCTTAACGAAATCTTTTAATTTAACATCAAATTTTCACTTATATTTAAAAGTTACAAATATTCTGTACAATTCTGAAATATTCCTAACCAAAATTCTACTAAGTATCAAAATGGCATATGAGAAAAAGTGGAATTAATTAATTATTATATTTAAGATGAGATGGAGGCCTGCCTTAGCCAAATTGCTTTGCAATTAATTATAGTATTGTAGCTCGATAAAGAATCCTGCTGTTAGCTTGGTATTTTAAATAACTCGTTGCTTAACTTTCCTGGCGACATTTGGTGGCGCCATTTATTACGATATTCTATTAAAAAGCAATTTTTATCTTTTTCATTATTATAAAATGCAAAAACGTTAACTTTGAGGTTAGGGATAAGTTTAATAAAAAAGCAATAGCCCCCTTCTTTTTAAAATTTTATTATAATCTTAATATCACGAGTTAGGGCGCGAATAATTATCCTATCTGGTGTCAGTCCTGACTAGACTAAGATTTTCCTATCTTTTCTATTACAAGCCATCCATTGACAACGTGAGCGGGTGTTACCGACCTGTAGTCGATAATAGTTCGATAACTCAGCCATCTCGAACCCGATTTCTCACAACATAGTCCGCGCCGCCAAAGAGTAAACACGAGTAGCCTGAGCCGGGCCTATGTTAGATAAAAGGGGGCCTACCAGTGGCCAAGCAGTTCCGTTCCCTGCCCTGAACACTGGGAGTTCGGTCTGAGTTCGCACCTGACCAGGACGGGCTAGCCACGTGGAGTATTCTGGGTTTTCTCCACGTCTGTAACGCCTGAATAGGGGCTAGTTTCCCTTAAGAGGTTCTTCCGAAGACATCCTTCTAGGCAGATCACCAAAGTGTTGCGTTGCCGTAACAAACAAACAAACGTAGATAAACGGGATGGAAGGTTCTTGTACAGGTTTTTATTCTATCTTTGTTTTACTTTTCTTTTTATAAATTTTATTACTGTGATAATTTACAAATGTCTCCTTCCATTCGTTTCATCTGACATAGACTCTTCCAACTCAGGCTAACTCGTGTCTGTTCTTACGCAGCGCGGACTATAGTCATATATTAAAATGGCGACTGTAATTTTTATCCGGTGTGTGTCGATAACCGTACACGGAACTGGATTTAAATGGTAGATTTACTATTTGTTCGGGGCCGAGACAATCCTATACTGGATATCCATATCGATGTGAACAATCTTGCGCTTGTATATCGGAATATGCCGAAAGTAGAGGAGGGTGCATTCCCGTGTCTCAATGTAGACGTTTAGAAAGAAATTAAGCGAATATATAAACGGTATACGATGTTTTAACATTATGCTCTGTATGCAGTTTAAATTTTGAATTGAAAATAATATTTGATGATAAGGAAAGTTTCGTGTTTTATAGCAAATTACGTGACTGCAAACATAAAAATAAATTAAGATTTAGATCTTTTCATTAAAACGTCCAACAACGAGTTGCGTAACTTTCTCGGCCAAACTTGTGTGTTATGATATTTTATTTAAAATTTTTAAAATATTATTAATTACTATAAAATGGCAAAGAGCGTAATTTTCAGGGTAAAGGTGAGTTTTGTTTAAAAAAATAAAATTGTAAACGCTAATAGCCGGTAAATAAGTTTTGACACGGACTGGCTATGATTTTTCTATGTGCCAAGGTAGTAATTGGGTGGGAGCCTCTACTTTTTGATCAGGATGGCGTTTGCGGCTCTCACCAAAACTAAAAAAAAAGGATTTTGTTTCTTGGAATTCATGGGGCTTTCTTTATACGATTACAACATTTAGATACCAACAATTTGACACCAACAATATATGCCAGTAATCAATTTAGATAATGTGAATTTGATAGTTTATTGATAAAATTAAACAAAATATCTTTCTCAAAAATAACGATGGAAGTAAAACAAACTTTAAGTTCTCATTCTTTACAAGTACTGAACAGAATAAGACATAAAGGTTTACTTTGCGATGCTGTTTTAAATACTGATGATGGAGGACAGTTCCAAATTCACAAATGTATAATGGCTGCTTACTCTGATTATTTTGAAATCCTATTCACGTTTACGATTTATGGAAAAGACAAACATTCCTTTTTAATGTATGATGTCAACAAAGATATCTTAGAAAGAATCATCGAATATATTTATGAAGGTCACATTAAATTGGAATGGGATAACGCCCGAGAAGTATTCACTGCTGCTGAGCAATACCTTATGGAAGGTTTGGTGTTAGACTGTTTAATATTTTTCGAACTGGAGTTGAACATTCAAAACTGTCTTATAATAAGGGAATTCACAAAGACGTATCAATACCCAAAATTTGAAGAATTAATCGAAGACTATTTATTGAAAAACTTCGTAGATATAGCTACCAAAACTGCGCAGATAATGGACCTCACATTTTTTGAGAATTAATAGAAATTCTCAAAAATGATAAACTTAATGTTAAATCCGAACAATTTGTTTGGGCGACGATATTAAAATGGATCGATATAAATCCACGACAGAGAAAAATTTACATATTTCAATTGCTGAAATGTTTTCGTAACGTGTTACTAAATATGGAATTTCTCACTCAGAAGTGGCGAGGAGAGGTGTGAAATACATACTATGTTTAGATAGGTAAGAAAAGCCACAGTTTAATTTAAAACCTGAAGAAAAGGTACTTACGTTTTAAACAGAAGAAAAATTGAAACTCAACGTTGTCACTTTCGGGGACCACCACGAACGTCTCGACTCTCCACCTACTCTCTCTGTCTCTCTTCCCGCATTTCTTTTTTTCGGTTTTACGACCCTTTGTCTACATTTCTTATTCCCCTTTTATAACTGTACGCAAATGGATTGCACATGGACCGATAAAACCGAATCTTAGGGAGGACGCGGAGGTCCGATATCACTACAGTTTCATTTGCGCGTTGCGTTCGGTTACAAGTGTAACACATTAATTCAAAACATCGCGAGCGATCGACCAAAATTTGATTCGCGATCGACTTGTTGGTCACCCCTGTTCTAGAGAACCATCGATGCTATTTTTTACTTATCGAAACATTAAGGTTTCTAAATAGCATAAATATAGTCAACAGCATGTATTACAAAAGGATCATACCTAAATTTGCTCGTCCAAGATTGCCACATGAAATCATATTTGCTTTAGGAGGGTGGAATTATGGTTCTACTTCTTATGCCATGAAAATGTATGATGTTAGATCCAATCGATGGATTGAACCTGAGCACAACTTTCAGATGTCTCCAAGAGCTTATCACAAATGAGCAGTTATTAACTATTACATTTACATAATAGGTGGTTTTCATGGGTCAAAGCAATTTGATAATTGCAACTGCTTAAATGTGTGAGGATCCAAATTCGGACTTTCCGTGTGTTTATATCACTTTATCATTTCACATTGTGGCTATACAGTACTTTCGTTTAATAACTATCAACTTTTACACCTGGGAGCTAAACATCTGCTAAGTTCTCAGGCTTGCTAACGACGCTTTCTCATTACCTTTTAACCTAATATCTCGCTTTCAACAGTACAACATTAAAACAGAACAACAAAGTGACGCAGTCGTAGCCCGTTCTTCGAGAAGTAAGATCATCCCGAAATCCCTCCAACAATTAACTGTCAGTGCCCATCCGGATATCACCTACTCACTTAGGATATTAAAGAACTTTGTGCCATAAAGACAATTGGATAAACTTTCTCGACGATCGCCACCTTAACGACAACTCTTGTGGACCTTGTCAACTCCAGGTAATTATCGCCACGCGCAACTTATGTAAACTCTCTCTCTCGAGAACCGCGAAACGGTAACTGAAATCTAAAATCCAATTTAATGTCTATTTTATATTAATTGTAGCACAGATCTCAAAAAAACTAGCCAAGTCAAAATCGATATATTTTATATCCTGTATGGCCTATAGTTACTTATTAAACAGTTGTTACGTTAAAGCGTCTCTGTGTAAGTCACTTCTGGTGCGCTATCTTTCCTTCTATCTCGACTCTGATCGCTCCGTTCTAAATAACGCGGCTTCCGTGTCCGCCGAGACGCGGTGGTGTCATCCTGACAGGGCACCAAAGAGGTGCTGACCCTTCGGTCACAAATGCAATTGATAAAAGTTTGAAAGAAATAGCTCTAATGCATAGTAAACGCTGTTACGCAAGTGTAGCGGTTCTAGATAACATCATTTATGCTATAGGAGGATTTTTAACTAAACCATCGAGGTTTAGTTAGAAAAAACACTGTTGAAAAATATGATTGTAATAAAAATCAATGGACTATGATTGCACCCATGAATTTACACAGAAGCGATGCGAGTTCCATTACTTTAAATGGTCGTATTTATATAACAGATGAATTTACTGGAATAGAGGTGCTTAGATCTGCTGAATATTATAATCCTGGAAATAATCAATGGACACTCATTCAATCAATGAACGTTCGCAGAAGTGGAGTATCTTGTGTAGCATACAAAGGATATATTTATGCATTGGGAGGTTTCAACGGTAACACTCGCCTAGACACAGTCGAAAAATACAATCTACATCGAAATGTTTGGAGTGATGTACCACATATGTTATCATCTAGAAGTAATTTCGATACCGTAGTAATTGATGGTGCAATATGTGTAATTGGAGGTTTCAATGGAAAGACTTTAATTTCTCAAGTAGAATGTTATGACGATGAAAGTAATCAATGGCGCAAAGTATCAGAGATGAACATAATTAGATCAGCTCTAGCTACTTGCGTCGTCCGTGACATTCCTAATATCAATGATTACTTTTATGCATATACACATCCAGACTTCACCTATCGAAATCAGGCAAGGGACTCTTGACAGGATAAGTGACCTCTACACCAGAGGCTTCGGCAAAACCGACGAAATCAGCATCAGACACTATTTCTTATCATCCTCATCGCCTCTCCCTTATGTGGCTTTGAAATGAACTTTGTTTATGTGATTGGTACCGGTGCTCATTGTTGTTTTCGACTGTTACCTTCCACCCTTTATAAATTGTAATGCGGCTCATTAGTCGTAAATTATCTATTTTTGTATCCAGCCATACTTACGTTGTACGCTGGCATTCAACTACTACTTCCATTGTGCAATAGTTATTTGTTTGTACGCGGTAACCCCGCCCCGTTATTATAGTCTTTTTGTGACAGGGCAGTTTGGTTTTACCGGTCCCAGGATCAAGCTATTTTTACCATCCGTTCCTGAACAGTTTAATCAACTGTCCCCAACATTTAATGGCGCCATCTGTTATCATATTTTATTAAAAAACCTTTTATATCTTTAACTGTTATAAATGGCAAAAAGCTTAATTTTCAGAGAAAGGATGGGTGTTTATAAAAAACTGCAAATGCTAATAACGAGTAAAATATTCATTAAGTCCGACCGCACTCGAGATACACACGACCCCCATTATCTTCCTACTCCCTCGACCATTAATTTCCAAAATTTAATACTATCAATCCCCTAATAAACAAATCTCCCTTCAAAATTTCAGAAATTTGCGACAGAAAGCTCAAGAGATATTGAACTTCAAAGAAGGCGAAAAAATCGTGCCCCCTACACTCAAAACAATCATCCATACACACAGAAAAAAACCCGAATTTTTTGCAATTCTCAACGTTTCAAGGTGTCCTCAGTCCAAAAATATAAAAATCTTGGGATCATTTTTTGACCGATCGCCATACTCTACATCGGTTATATATAAAACAGAACCGGGAAAGTAAATATTACCTACCTAAAAGTAACTACTAATTCGCCTAACGTATATTAGCCTAGTAAGTTACTGAAATTTTGAATAAAATTTCAACACATTTTTTTAATCAAAAATTTTCTCATGTTTGGTAAGATGATAACTCTAAATGAGGGATTTGCCACATCCCAGAATTGTTGACCCTTTCTACGAGCAAACAGTTAATGGAACCATACTTGTACATGTGACCCTTCGCGAGATATCTCGCGAAGGGTCACATGTATAGGAATGCTTCTTTGACTTTTTTACTTCTGTGGGTATAGCCTACAGCCCTGGTAAGGTCGACCGACTCATTCCGAGAAATAATTGTACCAAATATTTATAGTAATTTAAATAAAATACTCATCAAGAAATTATCAGTCGTTTAAGTCATCCAATATTGAAACTCCAGTCCTTTACGTTTGTAAAAATTTAAAATATCTATAATACGTCTTTCTGTTTCAATAAAAACACAATTCAAACATGGCGGCATTCAGCAATAATTTGGTCATGTGATAAACAACGCGCCTTGGCCTGTTTTTCTCGTTGGCCTCGGTTTCTATCTATCTGACGTCATTCTTGACAGTTGCTACGAACAATCAATGAACTTTTTACTTATCCATATACTAATATTTACAAAGATCACGCTGCCTGGCAAAGCGACATTAATACAACTGGATATGCAAACCAATGACATTGCCCATTTCATTTGAAAAGGACCACGTCATTGGCACTCTTAGCAGTTGTGTTAAAACGACTTTTCCGCGCGATGTGCCCAAAATGATCTAAGCAACGGCGACAATGAATAATTAAGACGTCGAATGTAGCTTTGTTTGTTTTAACCGTCAATTCTTTTAATTGAGATAATTAGCAAACACGAACTCTCTTCTATAAATTAGATATTACAATTTTTCTGGTATAACAATAAGCGATTTTACTTATGAAACACTTCAAAAGACGGACATTTTGCAAACACTTTAAAAATCGGGATAGTTTATTAAAGTTTGGAAATATCCCGCCTAATTTTGAACGTTTTGTTCATTTTATATTAAATCGTCTTTCAAATATTATAAATTTATTTCACATGTCTTTTAATATTAATATCTTGTTTACTCGTTGCTTTATCATCTCATACAAGGATTACTACGTACATCGTCTCCAATCGCTGTAATCATAGAAAGATAGATAAAGCTTATGTAAAACACTGACGCCGATAGTTTCAGAGCATCTTCAAATGCTTTCCGTAAGATTACGCTTATTTTTGGTATCATACATATCCGCTTTTAATAATTCATTATAATTTCAAACATCTATGTTATTTCAAATATTGGAAAATTATTTCTGACGTGATAAAATTATATTTGGTGGATAATCGATTTATTGATCAAATAAATCGATAAAACCCAAGTCTAGCGTATAGTATTATCTAAGATCAGAGCCTGAAATAGAAGCTTTCAACTACGTAGTTCTATGTAGTTAACAATTATATCTTAACAGTCATTAATTCAGTATATAATAATATATCTGTTCTTTATTCTTTGTATCCATAGGTATGTTAATTAGTTAACTTTTAAGTAGATTGAAATTTTTAATTTATCAAACAATCCGATTTATATAATTATAATAATTTAGTTAACTAAAATTATTCTATTTAAAATCTTTTAAATATAGACATGGATGATTCCTCATCGAATGAATTTTGCCTGAAATGCTTTCTCAGTCCTTGTTTGAACACTGCTTTAGTTTTCGGTTACGAACCAATTAAACCTTGTCATTGCATGTATCAATCTTCATTTATTTTTCCGAGTAAATCTCTCAAACATTTTTATTTGAATTGTATCGAATTTTTTCTATGGATATATTTTTCATTTAATTTTTTCCACTTGATTCTGGGATCTAACAGATTCCTTTCATATTTACACGCGTCTAAAATTTTGGGTTATAATTCAATTTTTATGGATATAATTTTCACGTTAATAGCGTTTAATGTAGCATATATTTTTAGTATCGTAAAACGGAAAAAGTGTCCTTCGTTGATTAAAATTAAAATATCTAATCATTTAGAAGTGGAAAGATTACAAAATTTTGTTATGAAACTTTGGCAATTCGCCGTAACTACTGCATCCGTCTCTCTATGATATGCTATCAAATAATCAACGCGGTCGTATGCTATCGATTGGACCAAAAACATCAATTTATATACGAAATGTTTCTCTGCTCCGTGTGGATTTGAATTTATATCACTTACTTAATTGGAATAATTTTCCATTTTTGCTTGATTGCTTTTTTAATTATAATAATTGTAGAAAGAGGATTTTTGCGATTATCCGAAGACCTGTCTTCGCTAAAAATTGAAAATTTTAACATTGAACGACAAATAGAATCGTTAATTATTCAACATTCGGATTTATGGACATACGTTGAGAATCTCAGTAATATGTATAAACATATTACAGTAATTTTATACTTTTACTTATTGTTTGTGACGTGTCTTTGTTGCTATCAATTTCTCTTTATTGATACGAGTTTAATAAACAAGTTTCTTATTCTGATCTTGTCAATCTTTTTTGCGGTTAATTGCATTGTAATTAGTTTTCACTACTCTTCATTTACAGTAACGGTAAGATTTTAAATAATATTGTATAATATGTAATTAAATACTGCACAATAATATCTTTTCTAAATGTTTCAAAACAGATGCATGATCATTTCAAGAAATAAGACGGTTTTCAAGTACAAATATTAATCTGCAAAACAAGTTGAAAGTAAGAATATTTAAATGTTTGTATTTTTTGCATTTACGTCGTTAATTTCGATTACACTAAGAATTTTCGTACAATAGATTTTAAATTTCATGAAAAGATTCGGGAAGATGTCATTGAGATTTACTATAGGTGGATTTTTCTACATAAATAAAAACTTTCCAATTAAAGTAAGTAGAAATATTAGAAAATATATGTAAAATGCGATTGTATGACAATGTTAAATATTTATTATTTCCAGATGGCCAGTTCTCTACATTCGATATTTAATGGTCTAATGAAATTCAGAAATGTCGGTGATAGGCCTAAAAAAGAAGTCTGTTTACACTCTTCCACACAAAATGTCACACATAATTTTTGAGTTGAGTATAAGTTTTGAAATATTTTTACCAAATTACGTATTTTGTTTATAATATTTATGTCAAGAAAATCTGCATTCATTAGATTTGTTTATTCATGCGACTGCTAGCAGATGGCATTAAAAATTTGATTATTTTTCTATGGGGAAATCCTTCTGATAAAATTGTCCAAAACGGTAGCAGAAAGAACGTAAAGATTTGATTTAATTTTTCCAATAATCGTACTGTTTAGAATTTTTAAATGAAACTTGTTGATTTCTACAACCTTAAAAAATTCGAAGAAAATTATCGAATCCGATTTTCAAAATGTCGAATCCTAAAGTTAATGGAAAAATTAATTCAGATTTTTACGCTATAAACTGATCAGTTCTATCTACTTATGTTTTTGAGTATTCTTAGAGAAAGATTTTCTCCCATAGAATAAGCATTAATCTGTAAATATCACTTTATTGTCATTGACTTGGCTCTCCTAAATTTTTGAGTTGTATTCTTTATTAGTGTAACTTTTTATAAACGTTTTTCTATGCGATATTGAAGCGCATTGCTTTAATTTTTATGTGTTACTAGATTACAGTACAGATATCCCTTGCATAACGTAGTTTTGCTTAATAGAGGTTTCACTGTATTATCATTTCTTGTTTACAAATCCGACATAATTTTGGAATTGTAAAAGTTCGTAGCCAGAAAAGATTTCCAGAAGCACTTCAGAGTGAGAAAGTATTAACTTTTAAGTCGCCTTATATTTTATTTTATTCATAATTCCATCTTATAATCTTAAGAGTTAGAGCATTCCCTTCTAAGCATTACTGTATTAATTTTCAATGGAAAAATCATTTATTCGTAAGTAAGGTGTCTATCTAAAAATTTAACTTATTTTTATTTTTAACTAATGGCAAATACGAATAAAGAATTGTAATTATGACCAGAAAATACCAGAAATCGAGTTCCGGCTATTGGCGCTGTTTGCCGAATCGATAAAATTTAGAAGTATTGATTGAATTTTCAGATTCATGCTTTACCTTTTGCAAAAAGCGTATGTAATTTTAGATTGCTTGCTTCTAGTTAAAAGATCTTTATAAATTTCCTTATATGGTGCTAAGCACTTATGGAATAAGGGAAAAACATCTGGCAACACGGAAGAGAAGCGTCGAGATATGGCAAAATTGAAACAATTTTCGCGAAGGACCATGTATATGAAGACGAGAAAAGAAAATTTACATACTTAAGTACTAATAGTTCACGAAAATAATAATTTTCGTGAACTATTAGTACTTAAATATGTAAAAATTTATTACATTTTATGTTGTACGAGGGTTTTACCCATTTCTCGAACCGTGTCAGAGTGAATCCGTGCTATAAAATACCGTGTTATACGGGGGATGGTACCAATTCTCGAACCGTGTTAGAGTGAATCCGTGCTATAGAAGTGCCGTGTTATACGGGGGTTACCTGTAAATGTAGAAAACGATGTAATTGAGTCTCGGATATTTAATCCAATGAAAATTGTCTTTACTACTAAAAAATAAAAGAATATAGTTATTGAAAGCGAGGATATAATTATTTTCGTTTAAAATGTCATCAGTTATTGCTTAAAAACATAATAATTATTTCGATAATCAGAACTCGCTTTAATTTACTACAATGAGATTTCAAAACGCCACGCGTTAGTAAATAAAATAAGGCAATATTTATATTTGTTTAAAATAAAAGACTAATATTGTTTTCCCTCCCACAGAAAAAAAAACAATTTCTTTTCCACTAGCAGTTCTCAATTCAATTTCGATAGTATTCATGGAATTTTTCTGTAAATAAATATAAAGGTGATTGATAAAGTATATAATCAAAATAAATATAAAGTTGTTCAGAGTTTACCCGACATCTTTATATTTCATAATATCTGATCTTTCTTTTCTCTCATAACGGGTATAACTCTTAATAGAGGAGCAGATATATCTCCAATGCGATGAAAAGCAAAAATATTCGAATAAATAAAAATTTCTGAAATTATTTCCGATAATTCGATTAGGTACTCGCTTACGTTATCGCCGAACAAAAATTTCGCTGTTTTACATTCTAATAAATCTTCTAATTCATTTCCAAATTCAACTGATATATTTGAAGATGATTTTATTATTGAGCAACAATGCTAGAGCTTAATGTATTTAAAAATACCAAGAAGTTTTTCAGGGAACGAGTATAAACCAATCAGAATAAAAACTTTTTATTTATTTATATTCTTTGTTAACAATGATAACAACGATATAATGTCTAAAAGACATGTTACTTGATATTTTAATCTCTTTCTCTCACACACACACACACACATATATATAGACCAATGTATAAAGAAGGAAAGATGTCACTTATATAGAAAAATATATTTCTTCTAGACTATACATACATAGACGAGTCTTTGTGTATTTTCTGTCCTTTCAAACGCTGTACGAGGCAATAACAATTCCACCGGCGAAGTCGACCTTTCTGTGAGTTTAAGCACTCACAGAAATTTAACTAAGATAAAGGCAAACTTTACTGTTTTCAAATAATTTATTAATTTTAATACTACATAAAGTACACAATTTTAAATGCATGAGAGGATAATATATAGTTTTCCCAATTATATTGTCATAAATATATGCATTAAAATTCAATAAAATATATTAACAGATGACGCCACAAACGCAGTTTTAAATGTTGCTGAAAAAGTCAAACAACTCGTTGGTGGATTTTTTAAAACTATGGCTTCAAACGTCAGCTAAATCTGTAGCTGAACTTTCAACTGTCAACTAAATCTCTGATAGTAATAGGTTTATAACACAATGCAACAGTGAAAAAACTTTTTTCGAAAATGTAGGCGTTCTTTATGTACTGTATTTCGACCTCCTGAATTCGAAAATGATACTCAAAAACATCGTATTACCCACAGTTTTGGCACTAATCATATACTTCGCCAAAAATGATATCACGTATAGAAGTACAATACATATGGCACACGAATCATGCAGAAATAGAATACAAGTTTAAAACAACAACATATTGAAATATGCACACACAGTGAACAGATGCATCCAGAGAATGTGGTACAAAACATGCACTAACATCATTCATTCCGTGCTTCCTTAGTTGTCATGGCGTGGCCCCTGCTTTTCCTCTTATGGGGAATTTCCGTTATGTGCTCAAGGTGAAGCATCCAGTAGTAGTCGCCCACCATCTAATGTCCTTGATATCCTGATGGAATCTTTTACCTTGTTCCTCACTTACAGCACCCAGGTTTGGAAGAAAAAAGTCAAGATGCAAATTTAAAAAATTAACTTCGAACTCATTGAGCATCCCAGCATTTTGAATTTCGTCAGCATGTTCTCAACTATGTCGATATACTCTGGGCTACGATTGTTTCTCAGGTAGTTTTGAACGACACACTTAAAGGCAGTCCAGGCTTCTCGCTCCACGGCATTCATTGAATGAAGGAAATCGTCATCTAGCATTATTTTCCGAATATCGGGACCAGTAAACACGCCCTCTTTCAACTTAGCATCTGAGAGGTTGGGGAACTTGTAACATAAATATTTGAAACAGTTACCACACTTATCTAACGTCTTGACAAACTGCATCATTATGCCCAGTTTGATGTGCAGAGGTGATAAGAGTATTCTGTCTCTTTCCACTAGAGAATCACACTTAATATTTTCGTCCCTTGGAACAAATTCCAACCTCCGGGGCCACTGTTTTTGTTCCTAATGTTTGTCATGAGCCCGACTGTCTCATTCAGAGATGAAACAGGGGAACTTGGTATATCCTGTTTGTTGTCCTAGAAGCATACCCAACACTTTCAAATAACCACACACCATCCAATTGTGATCCTCATAATGAATGGTAATAAGAAGCGCCTTAATGTTATCATATATTTCCGTCAGGTGCACAGAATGTCCGACAGGTATTGAGGCATACATGTTACCATTGTGCAGCAGAACTGCCTTCAGACTTCTTTTAGATGAGTCAATAAACAGTCTCCAGTCAGCTGGCGCATACAGAATGTTGAACTGACCCATCAAACTTTGTTCATCACTGCAGGACACTAACAAAATATTGTGTGAATATCAAGTCCCTTTTTCTGTAAAATGTAACGGTCTTACCAGCTGTTAACAAATGTCTTTCATGCAGTCTTGACCCTACGAGCTCTGCTTTATCTCTGCTTAAGACAAACAAACTATATATTACGTAATATAAATTTTTAAATATGGTGCAGTTCATAAACGACGTCCACACTGGGGAAGGGGGAAGGGCTTGAGCGTCAATGGAAGTCCGTTTATTTCATTAAATTTTATACAGTTTATTACATTCATTTCAAATTTTTAAAATCAATCCTTTTTAAAATATTTTTAACATCTATCAGTCTGCGATATATTTGGAATAAGTTCCACACATGAACTTTTTTCATTTTGTTTTTATTTGTCTTATCGTTAACTAACAATTTTCTTAAAAAAGAGGTGCAGACTGACACGATAAGTAACTTTTAATTACATATTATAACTTGTAAAATAATAAGCATTTATTATTAAAGAGAGATAAGGTTATAAGTAGGAAAGATTAAACTTTTTATTTCGAAATAGCTGGTATTTTGCACCGTAGTTTTACTTTTTTATTATATAACAGAGGTAAGCATGGCTTCGGTCAAGACATCACTACCAAGATTTTTACGTTTTTTTAGACTCAGGGAACCTTCAAACATTGAGAAATGCAAAAACAGACGATTCTTTTTTCTGTATGTATGTATGATATTGTGTATGGGATACACGATTTTATTCATCCTCTTTAAAGCTTACCTCTTGTGATTTTTGTCGAAAATTTCCGAAATTTTGTAGGGAGGTTTCTATATTAAAGGAATTAATGCAATTAAATATTGGCGATTAAAATTCGAGGGGCGCTGAGATAATGAAGGGATCTATATCTCCAATAGAGTATGACTTAATGACGATTTTACTCGTTACTAGATTTACAATTTTTTACAAAAACTCATCCCGAATGTCAAAATTAAGCTTTTTTTCGTTTTATAATAGGTAAAAGTATTAAAAAAAGAATTTTAAATAAAATATGATAAGAGATGGCGCCATGTTGACATCAAAGTTAAGCACGTTTATTATGTGAGGAGACCGAGTAACGGGCAAGTGAAGTAAATTCACACTTCAGACGCCGTATTATATATGTAATAATAGAAGTTCTATTCACCGTTTTCTGTGATATTATGCATTTCTAACAGCACCTCTCTTCAGAAGCAGCTTGTTTGCAGTACGAGCTTAATTCATACTAATGAAAGACTAGTGCATATTACAACAAATAATGAAGTTCTGCAAAATTGTATTATTATAGTGTACTAATAAAATAATTGTGTTTTAAGTCTTGCGTTGAGATTTGAAGTACAAAATAAATTTTAAATTGTTCACAACATAAAAAAAACAAGTACAAACGAAAACATTATTCTAAAGGAATGAAGTACTTTTTAACTAAATCATATATTATACAAAACTGAAAACTCTTGTGATGGCAATAATGCAATAAGATGCCATTACGACTATTTATGTAGCCTGGACTCACAGAAAATGCTACAAACCAAATTTAATATCTAATGTTTCTTGATTTAATTATTACAATTTAAACGTCGTAGAAACAATCATTTCGTATTTATCATCGTTGACAAATCTTTAGAATAATGTTAATTCGAAGCATAAAAATTATTTATTCTTTGTTTCATTTTCATCTATTTTTATAGTAAGCTTCTATTGACTACGCGATTAACTATTACACTATTCTACTGAGTAATTCAATAGAATAGCACATACATTCCGAGTGTGAATGTATTTTTCCTCAAAAATAGTAAATTTTATTCAAAAAATTCATTATAATAAAAAAATTTGAATTCAATTTACTAATAGAGTTCTAAATATTCTGATTCTGTTATTAATGTACGATCACCAGCATTTATGCATTTTAATAAGTACCGTAAAACATGTTAATTTATTTTACAAANTGATTCTGTTATTAATGTAAAATCGCCAGCATTTTAACAAGTACCATAAAACATGTTAATTTATTTTACAAAATATTCAACAATAAATAACAGGAAAAACAAATTGAAAAAATGAAATGTATATGAAATATGAAAATGAACTGTACATGAAAATCTTTAATACGTGACTCCTCAAAAATTCAATTTTTTTAATATTACCGCCTTTTGTAATAATTTCATTTACTTAATTAATATCTTATCTTGCAAGACGAATTGGAATTGGTGGTGGTTACAGTGGATTTATTAGAACTGGATCTACGTTCTTCACTACGAAACGTGGATAACGAAGCCATGGACTTTCTGAATCGACGGTACCGATGAAGTAAAATCGTTTTGGTTTTACTAAATCTAGTGAATGCCACAAAAATAAAAGCACCCTGAAGCGTCACCACCGTAATCATAATGAATTGGATTACCACCGAGGATATAAAATACGTGAGCAGTCCAAAAATCCATCCTACACCCATTATAATTGCAAGTTTTACGTACAAAACGAACTTTTTCTTTTTTCCGTTGTTTTGGTTATCGAGTTTCATGGAGCTTGAGAATATGATATGGGCACTGAATACGAAGAATAAAATATTTATAAATATTAGAAGACCTATGGGAATTGCAAAGAAGACAACCATGGACCATAGTCGAGTAAACCAACATATTCGTAAACGTGACTTAAATCCCGGTTTTAAATCTTCGGGGAATATTGCACTTTCTTCTCCTGTGATCACTACGATCAAGAACAATGCCGGCATTCCCCAGGAATATAAGGAATAGAAGAAAAACTTCTTGAGTTCCGCGTGTTTCGACGTCAACCGCAGTTTAGTTGTAGCTTGTCTGAAGGAACGAAACACATTGAATGATATTGCATTAATCCAGAAGAAAGGCGTCATCATAAAATAATAACTGGCTAATCCCAGAGGGTAGCATGTCCAAGTGGATGTGAATTTTATCCTTCCAATCATGAAAATTAAATTAGCTACGAGCATAGAGAGGGCAAGCGATACTATATTTTTACCCGGTAAATTCCTCATTTCTGGTACTAAAAGATATGCTATAACGTGCAATAATAAACAAACGACAGACAACGAGAGACCAACAACAGTGGTAATTTGTAAAATTTCTTGCATGTAACAATCTTCTTTATGTTCTTTGATGAAAATCTCTGGAAAACACACGTATACGCCATTCTCAGTTAGATAATAATTTTCTGGCGAGTAAAGTCCTCGATGAGAAAGAAATGAATAATTCGGGATGTACACAGTTTCATTTTCTAGTATTTGAAAATGTTCCAGTTCGATTAATGTTTTCAGACACGACAGAAACTGCTCACTATAATTTCCGTATTCTTCTGCATTCTTTTCTGTGTAATTATAAACTTCAGACGCTGAACTTTCTGTAGAATTCAGAGTCAATTCTCCCTCGCATATCACGACTTGTGTTAACTTTGATAATATAGGAAAAAATATCAGGAAAGTTTGTATGCTTTTCTTCTTCATCTCTTCCGAGTACTTGAAGCTCTCCTTTAAATATAGATTTTTATCTAGAATATAAAAAGTAATCAAATTAATTAATTTATAAAATTCCAATAAGCGAAACTTCTAAATTTGTTAACATTTACTTCGAAACAACTCAGGAGTTTCATATCATATTAACGATATTAATAAACTTACAAGGACATCTAATACATTGAATTTCCCATAAACAGTCAGTTTGACAAACCACATTAAACTCGATTGTCTTTGAGTTATATTATTTTAGAAACTTATAACATAATTTTATGTGATTTTACCCCACCATAGAACATTACTAATTTCTGCAAAGCATTAAGAGATTGCTTAGAACAGTGATACTTAACCTAGGATACACGCATCTCTCAAAATACCAGACACCTCTTCTGAGTGTCGGGTTGATGCTTAACCGGTTGAAATTCAGAATTTCAATCTCGGGAATTTCTAAAGTTATTTCTTTCTGAGAAGAACGAGAATTACATTGTAAATATTAATATTAGGGGTCGAATAAAACCATTAAATGTAAGTAAACAACGAAAAACACTTTTACGTGACGTGAATTATATTAACTGCTTGGAGTTTTCCGGGTTTTCTCCTTGCCAATAACGACTAAATAGGAGGCCAGTTCCCCATAAAAGTCCTCCCGGAAGGCATTAGTTCCCCTCGCGTAACATCGCGCCCCAGAGAAGGCAACGGGAAACCACTCTGGGTAGTAACTTTCCCTAGTATACACCTTGGCGGATTACAAACCTACGCCAGGTGTCGCCGACGTCAGGAATCTGATATGGCACCAAGAAGAAGAATTATATTCGACCTTGATTTGTGTGCTGCAAGTTCGACCTTGAACAGATAAAAAGTCACTCGAACAATTTGTAACGCAGGAAAAATTAAATTGAAAGTTATATATTTATCTTTAAAAGTTATTTTCTTTTTATTATAAAAAATAATCGACGAACTCTTATTAAAAAAACTCTTTATGGAAAAAATGTAAACTTTAGTCAAAGTCTAATCTTAATGGGGCTGCAACCTGAGAAAATTATAGACCTATAAAAGTCTACTTTCATTCGTACGTTTGCCTGTCTACATGTCTTTAATAATCTCGAGAAAAGAGGTAAATAGTCGAATGTCGTGACAGCAAACTTGAGGTAAAGTGATTTTAATTTAATTATTTTCTCCCGAAAAAGTTAGTTACTTGACAGACAAGACTCGATCGATAACAGGAAAAGTATGAAGTACAAGAACAAGACACTATTAATTTGAGGTGATCTTAAGTTAAATAAATTAAAAATATGATTAAAACTGCAGCCCGGAATTGTCACGATGTCACAATAAATAATTGCTCGTTTATATAATGTTTATATATTGCCAATATTGTTAATATATATTAGACGTATATATTGCTTTTTGTAATGTATAATGTGGTTGTTATCAAGTGATAACAACTGCAAAAGAAGAAACACGAAAATGAAGAAAATCGCAAATAACATTTTTTCCTGAGTTAATTTATTGTAATAATTTAAGCTTTATAAACTATAACTTAAGTATTTACAATCAATATCTGGCTGACAAGTGGTCGAATGGACCGAAACCATTTAAAATCGTGCACCCAGTTAATAAGTGGGGATTCTCGTATTACCAACATGAAGTTTCACGGGGTTTTCTTTACGTGTATAACATGTGAATAGAGGTCATTTTCTCATAGAAAGCTTTCCCACTTTTTTTATAGCATCATACAATTAACCTCTACAATCTCATATTTTAAGAGAAAAATTAATAAATTTTACAAATAAAGTTTTTTCTCGTTTATAATATCGAACAATAATATAATTTTCTTATTTTTTATCATTGTGTTTTGTAATAATTTAATTTAATATGCAGATAATACATAGGTGAAACTCTACTATCAAGGACGTTCAACAACAGGTTTCTCCTAACTACAAAACGTAATTTCTTTCTTTATATATATATATATATAAATTTCCTTCAATATTATATTCATTAAAAATTATAAACTTTCCTATATTTGAACTATGTTGATAAATAAATAGAAAAACTATACTTTTATATGTTGTAAATAGAATATTAGTATAATATGAAGTAGCCATTTTCAATCTTTCTACTGCTCTGGCCTTCCCTTTGATCATTTCTTAGCTTTCATAATCTATTATTTATTATCTTATCATTTCTGTAAACATATTGAATCGATGTATATTTCGTAAAATACAGTACATTTCTCTTCATTTGAATTAAAATAAATAAATAAACGACGAACAAAGTTTATATGTTTTCTTTTATATGAGAGTGCTTTAGAAAACAAAGATAATATTAGGCGATTCGAAAAATTAAAGATAAACTAAAAATATTTCAAATATTTCTTATAATTTAGGAAATGTCAGGTATATCATTTGACCCAAGTCTCCCTGTTATGTTGAGTGAATTTTTTCTTGTGTCATTGTGTGACATGAAGTCGTCACTAGATTTCAATTTTAAGACCGCTTTGTTTTGCACAAATCTAAATCTAAATGGGAACCGTTTCTTTTCGAAACATGGCATAATTGCTTGAGTACTTAATGAGGGCTATTGATGACACAACTACTATATTATTCAATGGCTAAAAATGAAGGGTAGTTGTTTGTAATTGCTAACTTTTACGACTTGTTGCGTGGATGAGAACGTCATTTTTTACAGATTTTTGTCTTGGGGTCATAAAATATATTTTAGCATAACAGCTTTTAATTAAATTCATGTAAATACTTATTCTTTTGTGTGACCAACACAAGATTTTGTTGCCTATTAAAAATTCAAACGTGGGCGCCCCCCTTTTAATTCTACTCGGCTTCCTTTGTATTTCTTCTTATCATTGGTCCCCCTCACTTCCCAGTGGTCTCCTAGAAGACCCACTGTCCACCATCATAATGGTTAATATAGTAACATAATGTATATAATTGTATTGATATATTACATATTGTATTAATTTTCCTTGATCATTTGAATTCACATATTATATAAGTTACAATTAAATAGGGGAGATCGGGGCAACTTCGGCATGCGGGGCAAGTTTGTCAAGCGCTTTTTTTAAAAAACAAATTAAAAGGAGACTTTGGTTATAGGTTAGGCAGTTGAGTTTTATTGGTGGCTTGTTGAGTGTAGTGTTTTTATTGTTCTCCAACAAGCGTAGTTGAATTATCAAGCAAATTTTCATTTTCGTTCAATTCCATATAATATTTTTTTTCCATTTATATTGAATTGGCAGGTTTTGTTATAATTCCATGATAACGAAAGTTACTTTTCCTGTTAGAAGGATGTAACTTCAACTTATTCACGTGGCCAGATCGTGGCTTGGCATTCTGTTCTCAGGGTTGTACTTAATGTTTCGAAATCATGACTAGCGGGGTAAGATCGGCAACATAAAGCCACATTAGAAGCAAAGGATAAAAATCAAACAGATGATAAATGAAAACATGTTTGCATTTGTTATTCATGTATATATGTCTTTGAACTTGCATTTCGTTGTAATAATATTAAATGGGTGTTGGATTTGTATTTCTTTGTTTTAATAGTGAATTCCAACTTATACATTGTTAATAACATAATTTTATATACGTGCCTATCTTGCCCCATTACTGTTGCCCCTATACCAGGGGCAACTTTAATAAAAATAATTAAAATAATTACAACTTTACAAAAAGAGAGAAGTTGCCGATCTTGCCCCTATACCCGGGGCAACTTCGTCAATTTCTCTCTTCTTGTAAAGTTGTAATTATTTTAATTATTTTTATTTCCAAACTGATTTTAACCAGTTCTATAGTAAGGTAACATTCCAATAGACAATATGCAAAGCTTTTTTTTCAGTTTACAGCAGTATTTATTACACAAAATTTAAGTAAAGCTTAACATGCCGATCTCCCCTATATAGAAATTTCGAGCTTATTTAGCAATAACAGGAAAAACAAACATTTATATGATTACTAAACTGTACACGTGTTTTCCTGTGAATGTCGCAACTTGTTACTTTATGTTACTTTTATCTATTAACTGATCTCAGTGAATTCATCTTTAATGACTTTTATTCTGCTGCAATTTGTAGAAAATTGTAGACCTATAAATTCTCATTTTCTTCCGTTGATCGTCCGTCCACCTGTATTTCATTAATCTGGAGAATGGAGCCAGACAGATGAGAGTCGAAACCAGATATAAAAACCAAAGAGGAGCTATACCCCAATTAACTACACAAGAAATTTTGATGCAATCCGAAAGTCATGTTATTTCAATTTAAAACTTTATTTTGATAAATGTTAGATAGATGACCGGCAAAACTGTTCTGCTAAAGGAAAAGCATGAGGTACAGACGCAAGCCACTACTAGTTTGAAGTAAAAGTATGATTAAAAATTGCAGTCCGGCATTATCACGATGTCACAATAAACAATTGCACGTTTTTTTTTTATTAGATTCGTCGTATATTACCTTTCATATTGCTAGACATTTGAAGCAACTTTCCTGATTTTTTATCGTTATAAAATAGAAAATATTGTATATGAATAAGCAAAAATGTAAGTAAATACAGGTATTTATTAACATTTTTTAACTTATTCAATTCATAAGTTTTTAAGTTGGAATATATTTATTGGAGAGAATAAAGAAAAGTCTGCCAGTTAATGCTTATAAATTTCTCTTTTAAAAGTGTATAGAAGTACGTAGCAGTTGTAACAAATAATAATTTTGTTGATATAAAATTTCTAAAGTAACTTATACTCAGAAAACTATTTAATTTTTGTTAGAATTTTTCTGATATTTCTCGCATTATTTAACGACCCGTAATCTAACTTTACAGGCAACTTTTATAAACACATTTTTATCCTCTTATGATCTAAGCCCAAACATAAAAATATGCAGTTTACATCTATAATTTATTTTTGAATGATTTATATGCAAATTAAATTGTAAAAGTTATGGTTATTTTCGAAAATAAACTATCGTTTCAGGAATGTAAATAATATTCGAATGATTACATTCAATACTCAGAAAATACAATCTAAACGCTTACATAAAATGCTACATTTTCGTATCGATACATAGAATAGGTTGACTCACGTGATTTATAATTTTAAAAAATAAATATACTTTATTTAATTTATACATATTTATATGTGGAAATCCTAGAAATTCTCATGTTTTTCCCGTATTAATATACTGTGACCTTGCAAAATCGGTCAATGTCACCTTAGCATATACGTGTGTAAGTCTGTTAGAGAAAAAAATATATATACATTTATATACGTTTATATATATATATGTGTGTATATATATTTCATAATTTTTTTATTTAATTTACCCGTTAGAAAGCTTATTATTGCTGTATAAAAAGAAAACATACTGCAAACTTCTAATATACTGTATAAATTCGGTATATAATATTAAAAATGTAAATAAAGGGTGCAAATAAAAGTTTCTTAATTAAAATTAACCATTCTTATGATTAATTTAATTAATAATTATGATATTTTCACTAATCATATCAATAAATGAGAATTTAAAACCTTGACGTTTAATATATAAGTAGCATTAACCACTTTTAAATATTAAATTAATAATGATAGAAAATACTATCGAATTATTNCAGATAGGTCACATCGAGAAATGCGAAACGATGTTTATCGATGTAGTTAGCCTGGGCAAGTAGTTTGAGCAGTAATATGTCACAAATGAATGAAATATTATAAGTGATTTATTGTTCAGAAAACAAAAAAATTTGATGAAAAGTATAGATAAAAAAGAAAAGTGTAATAAAAAAATTAAATTATTTTTTATTTTACAACTAGGTGCATAGGTAGACATTGGGCATCTTTAACATCACTCTTTATTCAGAAATATCTTACACACCGATACGCGTTTCGGGCATACGCCCCTCTTCTGTCGGCTACATCATAAAATATGAACAAGTATTTTCCATGTTACAAAATATTGTATAATGGTAAATTAAACGCGTATCGGCGTGTAAGGTATTCTTAAATAAAGAGTGATATTAAAGATGCCCAGTGTGTACTCATGCACACAGTTGTGAAGTAAAGAATAAACAAATATACGTTAAATTTGATAATTTAATTATATTTTCAATGCAGAATAATACAAAAACAGAATATTGATATACGGCAAAAAAATACTCACTTCAATTGATAAATAGGTAAACACACACATCCATCGATTTACGTTGTAGTACACATCATAAGGAAAGATGAGAATGATGAATATATATTCACGTGTTGGCACTATAACCAGGAAACCCGGAAAATCCCTATCGTTCGTCTTCCGTGACGCCAATCTACTTCCGATTGTGTCATACGTGACTTGTTAAATGCGTTTCCGATGTACCTTAAGATTTCGAGAAAATTGTTATGTATACGTACAAGATTACGCTATTTTAAAATAAATAATCTATAAATGGTAACCTTATATGACGAAGCATATTTAATACTTTTATCTGTAGAATTTAATATGAAAATGCTAAATAATTTAACTATAAAATAAATTTTAAGGCCTTTTTTTTAGTCAATTTACTGTTAAATGAGTCGTAAAAGACATTTGTCTTTATTAAGCTATAATATAAACTCGTAGTACAGACACCTATATGTTAGATATATAAGGCTATACGTACGATTAAAGTTACTTACGTGTATTTCTTTAAATACTTTCCATCAAAACTTTTTCTGTTTGCACCATGTATAATTAGTAAAATACATATTATACGGCTATTTAATCATGTAAAATATAGAATAAATATTATTATTGTAGCTTTGAAGGTTTTTTCCACTTCGATTTTTCAAAATTTTTAATGTAAGTCTATAAGGTACAACCGGTTTTAAGATAGAGAATTTATATAGGGATAAAAAACAAATGAAGTCCAATGACACTCAGCTACCCGACAATTTTATCAATTATACTTATATATATATATATTTGTCTTTCATTTATTCTTACGTTCAAATATAATTTCTAATTTCTATTTTCTCATCAATTAATTTGATATACGTGAAATAATTTATGCACATATCTGGATGTGGTATAACTAGAATAGGCTGTTACACAACACAAAAAGTGGGAATTCCTAGAAAAATATCGTTAGTAGATGTTGCATTAATATAAAAATATATTTATTTCTGTTTTTTAAAATATACTTCAACAGTTTGTTATTTTATTTTAAATTCTTCACAACACAAAAAGTGGGAATTCCTAGAAAAATATCGTTAGTAGATGTTGCATTAATATAAAAATATATTTATTTCTGTCTTTTAAAATATACTTCGACAGTTTGTTATTTTATTTCAAATTCTTCTTTGTATAAAATCATCGATTCTGTTTTAAATATATTTTAAGCACAATAAATGTTTATTACTTCTCCCTCTGTTATATACTTGTATAACACAGGAAAAGTATGGCGATCGGTCAAAAGTAATTGCCTAAGATTTTTACATTTTTGGACTTAGGACATCTTGAAACGTCTATAATTGCCAAAAAATTCGGGATAATTTCTGTATGTATTCATGTTAGTGTATGTGTGGGGGGCAGGATTTTGTTCGTTCTGTTTGAAGCTTAATTTAATAACTACTGTGCTTTTTGCCGAAAATTTCTGAAATTTTGCAGGAAGGTTTGACTGTGACGAGGACTGATACTGTTAAATTTTGATGATTAACGGTCGAGGGGGGATAATAGAGATCGTGTGTATCTCCAGAAGGTCAGATTTAATGACGATTTTATTCGTTATTAGCATTTACAATTTTTTATAAAACTCATTTCTACCCCGAAAATTAAACTTTATGCCAATTTATAACAGTTAAAAATATAAAACGTTTCTAATAATAAAATATGGTAAGAGATTTTTAATTTTTCCAGCAAAATTTTAAATTATGCCGGGAATGTTGAGCAACTCTTTGCTGGTTTATTTGTTTAAAGTGTCTATAATATTTACTGTATTCTTTTATTATAATGTATGTTCTTTTCTCTTTACTTTTCTGTATAATAATGATAGTTTTACAGTTCAATAAAATCTTTTTTAAACGTACAGTAATTAATTAGAAGACTACTGCCTCGCTTAACGACCCATTCGGTCGTAAAACGAGCAATAATTATCTAAAAGCTCCGTATTATGAATTGAGATTACGTTCCAAGAAATACATTTTAAATAAGTAGTATTATAGAAGCAGACGTTTTACACGATTATAATAGAGTTATAGAAGAAGAAGTTATACGGGTTATACAGGAGGCGGTCGTAAAGAGAAATTCGTTTATGATTTAATATACCAGTAATAATGATTTATATCGCATTAAAAATATTAATAAACCAATGTTTTCTCTAGTGTTTATAATTCAATTGGGCTAATAAATATACGTTTTAACTCATAACTTATAAAGAATTTTTCCAATTGCAGCAGGACTATAATAACTGTTGATGTATTGATAAATGAAATTAAGTAAATAAAAGATTGTCGAGAAGACATAATTAATTAAAACTTTAAAAAGTTGAAGAATAAGTTTACGAATGTTAAAATTTTGCATTATTTTTGACAAAATATCTACTCTTTACGAAACTTTTCAACCACAGCCATTGAGGGAAGCATATAAAATTGCCATTGTATGAGAGCAACCTCCGAAGTGTGGCTATTGTGGCCACTGTTTGGAGGTGCTTTTTCGCATTTGAAAAAAAAAAAAAAAAAAAAAAAAACGTTCCTGAAGCATGGATGCCGTTTACAGATGGCCGTTGCTGGCAGTTCGTCTATGTAATGGTCGACATTTTCAAAGTATCAAATGTTCCTGATGACGACGGTTATATGTTAATTAATTGTTATTCCAATCGTTTGTCGGAAAAAAGTGTTTAAATATATTATAAATTTTAAAGAATGTTTGATCAATTTCCTCATTACTATAGCCTATACTGTAAATCGTATACATTTGTTTAACGTCAAAGGACACAGATCTTATCATTTTATAGCATAATTATATTCTTAAGCTTATATAATTCGTTATTATATTTATCATATAATTACTTAATTTCCTCTTTATTTAATTTTTCAACCTGTCGCAGACGAACTGCTACAGACGATAATTTTTTAAAAATAAGTTACAATAATTTCAATTTAAATTGTCACAAAAAGATGAAAAACGCTTGCAAGACTGCTTATGAACAACGTTAAATGCTACTATCTTTCTCCTAAGATTGTAACGTATTAAATACCCCGTAATTTAAAAATTATTTATTAAAAGTATAATGGGCGAACCCGTAATGGGTCTGCTGAAAAGAGGCTTTTTTAATGCCCACAGGGCGGAAAGAGTTTAAAAAAAAATGGATGAAACGACCAAACACTAATAGTTAGTTTGTCATGGGTTTGGGCATGGCCAACGGGCTAGCCACGTGCAGTTTTCCTTGTTTTCTTAACGTTAATAACGCGTAAATAGGGACCAGCTTTACATAAAAGTCTTCCCGGGATGCATTTCTCTCGGCCACACGCTCAAGTTTGGCGTTGCCGTAAGGAAATGAATCAAACTAATCCTAACGAGCGATTATTTATTCTGGCATCGTCAGAATGCGTGGTTGTAACTTTTCATCACAATGTTCTCAATTCTTTTAGTGGTGTCTAGCCCCTGCACATCATATATTTCCTGTTAGCAATAGAGTCCCATCCATTATCTATCTAACTCCGTTAGGGGAAACATTTGAATCGAAGTAACGTGAATGCGTTTTCAAACCGAAAGTTTCTCATTTCCCGGTCTTTTGCTTGTCCCGGGATTCCGGGATAAAAGTGAACTGTTACCCGGGATCCCGGGAAATCCCGGGATAGAATCAATTATTTTTAAGGTATACAAAATATCTTGAAATTAAATGATATAATTATTTTTCATTTTTTAAAGTAATTTTAAAGTTCTGTATCATCCAAAATCATATTAATAATGCTGTGTAAGATATATAATAAAAATTACCTTTGAATTACGTAGAAATTTTCACAAATAGAAAAAAATTTATTAAAGTTTGCTAGAAACTGCATACAACAACAACAACAACAACAACAACAACAACAACAACAACAACAACAACAACAACAACAACAACAACAACAACAAAAATGCTTTGAATTGAGTTAAAAATTAAAAATTGAACTTAGATCAAACTTATAATACAAGCTTAGAAGGTAATTTTCGTTTTTTAAATAAAATATAATACAAAATATTGTAAACTTTTATAAGATTTTAAAATCAATACTCCGATCACTCACTCTAATTCTTATTTTAGTAATGAAAAGTCTTGCTACCGAGAATGCCCTTTCCGATTCAATTGATGTGATTAAAATTGTGTTTAATACATTTAAGAGAAGACAGATATGTGTTTTTTTCACCTGTAGCCTGGAAGATTTCGAGTTTGTTTTCGAGATTGTAGTACTTCTTTTGCTCTCTAGTATTTTTGATTTGTCTACCTCGGCTGCTTTAATAGAAGCATCGAGCTTATAGCTCAATAATTCGGCAATTCGTTTGGTTTTAATAATCAGGTTTATGAAGAAAAACTTCATACTTGCAGACTTTATACTCGTTTGTATCTTTGCCCAATTTGCACAATCTGGCGTTACGCATTTATTGAAGCTACTGGGCATGCTTAAAAATTAAGACAGCGTAAGCACAATTATTCCATATATTACGGGTTCTGACAAGTAAAGAATTTTCAGAGCCTGGCCACAAATAAGCTACGTATTGATTATCGACCACTTGTGACATGCCATAACGAGCAAAAATTTAAAAAAAAAAAAACTAATACGTAGGTTTAAAATTAATAAATACAAATGTATTCTGACAGTGAATGAGATAATTATGCTTTCTATTTGCAAAATTTCTTAACCTTAACACAAAATAAGAAAAAAGTGAATTTTTAAGAAATTTGCGGGATTTCCCGGGATAAGAAAAATTTCCCGGGATATTTCCCGGGTTAAAAAAAGAACCGGGATCCCAGAATCCCGTTTGAGAAACACTAGTTCATATATAGTTAATCTTATCTTCCTGCCCAAAGTTTTCCATACTTACTCTCGATTTTCATTTATCTAACTGCTTTTTCGAAATTAAGGAACGACGGACAGGGAAAAATTATTGCTCTACAGTTTTTCAAATTACAGTCCAACAGTTTTTCCAAACAAACAGATAGATGGAGATTTGATGTCCTAAACCAGGCCTGACCAACACGCGGACCGTCACGTTAAATTATGTAGACTGCTAAGCGATTTTATATATCTATTAAAACTTTTGTTTCTCGTTATGTGTACTGTATACCAAAAAAAAAATTAAATAAATGAAAATTTGCATGTCTCATTGTTATAATGCGCAGTGCGACTACGAACATCAGTTCTACGGTTGGTACTTGTGAATCTTTGTCCCAGATGGTGGCGCCGCCCTGGCGACCAACATCTCAACTAGTACCTGTATTTCCTAAGGTATGGCCTATCGTAATGTTACGCGTCATTAAAGTCTCCCATGAAACAATTTGGCCAGGCCTGTTTTACTCTAAATTACACGATCACCAATTACATGGATTAAATGCCAAGAAAAGGTAATTACACCTGATTTAAATAAATACCCAGTAAATTCAACCCAAACGATCTTTATGTCGATTAGCCCTTTTCTTCGATACAGGATATTTTTTGACTCCAGCAATACAAAGAGATAGGCTTGCGAACACCTACGTGAGGTTTGCCGATTGTGAGAAGGGGGAGGTTAATCCCTCTTCAAGTTTAGCAAACGTAATGTGGATGTGGTTTTCAACACTACCAGTAAAACAGCTACCTTTACAAAATAAGCCGTTTATTTGGAAGGACAATGCTTACACAATTCTGTGTAAACTGGCTGTAACTCGGTGTAGATTGGCAAGATCGGTGTAAGTGAAGCGAAGAAAGTGAAGTCCAAGATGACAAGGAAACCGTCACAGAAGACAAAGAATTTTTTATAACTAATAACGTGATATTTTTCTTTTAAACAAATGTTACGTTTTCTCGTTTACTTGTAAATTTTGTCATATCTAAGAGTGCGACTATGCAGACGCGAATTTAGAGCGAGCGAGCGAGAGGTTGCGAGCGATTTAGTTTTCGCAAAGGAAAACCATGCACAAACGAGAAGCGAGAAATAACGCTGGCGAGAGCGAATTTCTGGTTTTCGCACACATCTGACAGGTTTTAATATTTATCGCGTCTCGCCTCTTCTCGCCACATATTCTCGCTCGCTCTAAATTCGCGTCTGCATAGTCGCACCCTAAGGGAGTCGGAGTCGAAGTTCGATCTTTCCAATTGACGTTCTAAACCCGTTAGTTCGCGACAACTCGTGACCTCAGAGGGTTGACTGTATTGTTTAATTTATACATTGTATTATAACAAAATATTTTCTCAAATCAATTGAATTTTTGTACGTTTAACGAGATTCGGACTCCATCTGGGACCTTACACGTAAAGAATGGAAAACACGTAGATCTGATGTGTATTCTTTTTAAACAAACAAAATCAAATACGGGCCTGAGCATAATGGAAATTTTGCTGTTTTCTTTGTTGATTGAGTTCTTCCCTTATTTTAAAAGTAAAAAGTCTCTGTAATGAGTAAATGTCTTTTATGCTTTAAAAAAGTTGCAGGAACAAATAAAGCTAAAAATTAGAAGAAAAACTGAAAGGAAACAGATGAATGAACGTGTAAATGAAAGGTAATTTAGTGTAAGAGTGGAAGACCAAGTGTTTATTTAAAAGGAAAAGCATAAATCAGTGAAAATAGCAATTCCTATTTCAAGTCTATGATTTTGGCAGGAATTAGAAATTGATTGGCGTAAAGAGTTGTGTCTTTAGTAATTAAAAAAGAAAAAAATTCTAAAAAGAAAAAAATTAAAACATTTATTTAAGAGCTTTGAAATACAAAAGAACTGATTACGCGTAATAAATTCCTTAAAATGTTGAAAATCCAATTTATTTTCCACTGCTAATTTAAAAAAAAGACTACAATACAGAAATCTCTTGGTGCTACTCTAAAAACTAAAATTTATCTATAGTAATTGAATTCAGAACACATTAACTACATTTAGTTCAGTTAAATGATATATGAGTACGTAATACAGAGCATTTTTTAAAGCTCTTTCTGTCCTGTGGGGACTAAGAGGGCCTCATCTGACCGGATATTTCAACCTACCGGTCTTATTGTGGGCCTAGTCGAAACCATGCTAAACGGACCACCCCCGAAAAATTCAAGGAGATTTTTCGACCCGTCCTGGTCGATTCCAGGTCAACCAGAGACGTAGCTGCCATCTTGNATTAAAAAAAAAAAAACTAATAGGTAGGTTTAAAATTAATAAATACAAATGTATTCTGACAGTGAATGAGATAATTATGCTTTCTATTTGCAAAATTTCTTAACCTTAACACAAAATAAGAAAAAAGTGAATTTTTAAGAAATTTGCGGGATTTCCCGGGATAAGAAAAATTTCCCGGGATATTTCCCGGGTTAAAAAAAGAACCGGGATCCCAGAATCCCGTTTGAGAAACACTAGTTCATATATAGTTAATCTTATCTTCCTGCCCAAAGTTTTCCATACTTACTCTCGATTTTCATTTATCTAACTGCTTTTTCGAAATTAAGGAACGACGGACAGGGAAAAATTATTGCTCTACAGTTTTTCAAATTACAGTCCAACAGTTTTTCCAAACAAACAGATAGATGGAGATTTGATGTCCTAAACCAGGCCTGACCAACACGCGGACCGTCACGTTAAATTATGTAGACTGCTAAGCGATTTTATATATCTATTAAAACTTTTGTTTCTCGTTATGTGTACTGTATACCAAAAAAAAAATTAAATAAATGAAAATTTGCATGTCTCATTGTTATAATGCGCAGTGCGACTACGAACATCAGTTCTACGGTTGGTACTTGTGAATCTTTGTCCCAGATGGTGGCGCCGCCCTGGCGACCAACATCTCAACTAGTACCTGTATTTCCTAAGGTATGGCCTATCGTAATGTTACGCGTCATTAAAGTCTCCCATGAAACAATTTGGCCAGGCCTGTTTTACTCTAAATTACACGATCACCAATTACATGGATTAAATGCCAAGAAAAGGTAATTACACCTGATTTAAATAAATACCCAGTAAATTCAACCCAAACGATCTTTATGTCGATTAGCCCTTTTCTTCGATACAGGATATTTTTTGACTCCAGCAATACAAAGAGATAGGCTTGCGAACACCTACGTGAGGTTTGCCGATTGTGAGAAGGGGGAGGTTAATCCCTCTTCAAGTTTAGCAAACGTAATGTGGATGTGGTTTTCAACACTACCAGTAAAACAGCTACCTTTACAAAATAAGCCGTTTATTTGGAAGGACAATGCTTACACAATTCTGTGTAAACTGGCTGTAACTCGGTGTAGATTGGCAAGATCGGTGTAAGTGAAGCGAAGAAAGTGAAGTCCAAGATGACAAGGAAACCGTCACAGAAGACAAAGAATTTTTTATAACTAATAACGTGATATTTTTCTTTTAAACAAATGTTACGTTTTCTCGTTTACTTGTAAATTTTGTCATATCTAAGAGTGCGACTATGCAGACGCGAATTTAGAGCGAGCGAGCGAGAGGTTGCGAGCGATTTAGTTTTCGCAAAGGAAAACCATGCACAAACGAGAAGCGAGAAATAACGCTGGCGAGAGCGAATTTCTGGTTTTCGCACACATCTGACAGGTTTTAATATTTATCGCGTCTCGCCTCTTCTCGCCACATATTCTCGCTCGCTCTAAATTCGCGTCTGCATAGTCGCACCCTAAGGGAGTCGGAGTCGAAGTTCGATCTTTCCAATTGACGTTCTAAACCCGTTAGTTCGCGACAACTCGTGACCTCAGAGGGTTGACTGTATTGTTTAATTTATACATTGTATTATAACAAAATATTTTCTCAAATCAATTGAATTTTTGTACGTTTAACGAGATTCGGACTCCATCTGGGACCTTACACGTAAAGAATGGAAAACACGTAGATCTGATGTGTATTCTTTTTAAACAAACAAAATCAAATACGGGCCTGAGCATAATGGAAATTTTGCTGTTTTCTTTGTTGATTGAGTTCTTCCCTTATTTTAAAAGTAAAAAGTCTCTGTAATGAGTAAATGTCTTTTATGCTTTAAAAAAGTTGCAGGAACAAATAAAGCTAAAAATTAGAAGAAAAACTGAAAGGAAACAGATGAATGAACGTGTAAATGAAAGGTAATTTAGTGTAAGAGTGGAAGACCAAGTGTTTATTTAAAAGGAAAAGCATAAATCAGTGAAAATAGCAATTCCTATTTCAAGTCTATGATTTTGGCAGGAATTAGAAATTGATTGGCGTAAAGAGTTGTGTCTTTAGTAATTAAAAAAGAAAAAAATTCTAAAAAGAAAAAAATTAAAACATTTATTTAAGAGCTTTGAAATACAAAAGAACTGATTACGCGTAATAAATTCCTTAAAATGTTGAAAATCCAATTTATTTTCCACTGCTAATTTAAAAAAAAGACTACAATACAGAAATCTCTTGGTGCTACTCTAAAAACTAAAATTTATCTATAGTAATTGAATTCAGAACACATTAACTACATTTAGTTCAGTTAAATGATATATGAGTACGTAATACAGAGCATTTTTTAAAGCTCTTTCTGTCCTGTGGGGACTAAGAGGGCCTCATCTGACCGGATATTTCAACCTACCGGTCTTATTGTGGGCCTAGTCGAAACCATGCTAAACGGACCACCCCCGAAAAATTCAAGGAGATTTTTCGACCCGTCCTGGTCGATTCCAGGTCAACCAGAGAGGTAGCTGCCATCTTGGGCAGAGTCTGGCCAATATCCTGCCAGAGTCTGATAGGCGCTCTTGGCTGTCCGGCCGTCAATATAAACGTAAGGATAGGAATAATTTCAAATAAAGATAAATTTATTTAATAATCATAATTAAAACTTACTCATATAAATTTTACAATAGAAAAACTGATTACTTTGAGATCTAAAACAAACAAATTAAATTAGTTAAAAATTCTATTATAAAAAAATTAACAAAATTATATCATAACGGAATGTCTTGTCTCTTTCCTTGAAATTCCTAAGAATATTATATGCTCATTTATATATGAAAAGAATAAAAATGTGCTTTTCAGTTTACAAGTTGTATTTTTTCGTTTTTTTTACGTTTTATTTTTTCACTCAAATATTCATTTTTCTGCGTTTATAACCAATATATGAATTAAAATTTAAAATCAATGCATGTACATTTTATTTGTATATTCTCTGAGAAACTCTTTCCAAAATTCGCATTTTTCATCCACTTCTTCCTTCATATTACGAATGTTACCAAGAGTGAGAGAAAGCGAATTACGTTGTTTCCTATCGAACGGTTTCCATTCAAACTCCATTCCTTCATAAGTAGGTTTTCTGCGAAATAAAATATTTTATTTGTTAGAAATATTATAGTTACTTTTGTTTATGGAGAGTTATTAAATCTTATTTTATAATACAGGATATCCGAGAAAAATCTACATTATTACAAACAATCATCTAAAAAACGAAGAGGTTTATCGAAATGATGTGTTTGCATTAAACGAAAGATGGAGTCAAAATATTTTTATTGCTAAAAATCATTACGACACTTGAAGCGGTTAAGCGTATGTTCAGTGAACCTTAATATGTGATCATTTAGTTGCAAAAAGAATGTTTAGTCGATCTGCATTAAATAAAACAGTAAACTTTTATAAATATGTTGTGTATATTAAATTTCAACTACAATATTTTATTCATTTAAATATTTCAAATGAAATATTTTATGTATTTTTCTATCTTAGAAACACACATTATAAAATTAAAGCTCACCCAGTTTTAGCGAACGACGTCCAAAGTTGTATAATTCTCCTGCTAAACAATACTTCTTCTTCGGTGTAATCTTTCTGTTTTAATAATGGTCTTCCAAACACGAAATGCAAATCTTCGCTGTGTAGAACTCCCATCCATCTTTTAAACAGAGATTTGATTCGAGTATGATTGAACTTATAAACGTAGACTGTGTGATCATACTGAGAAAGTCTTTCCACTAAATGTGATATGGGGCATGAAAATGCTGCGTCTCCTAAAGCTTTGATTGTTTGTTTTAGAATTTCTGAATGGTCATTTTCTGCCACATTTCCTAAATATTTCTTTACAATACGATCAAGATATTCTCCAGTTACTTTGTAAGCCCTACTCATAATATCTTTCGCCTCTGCTTTTGATAAAATTGGCTTGTCTTCTATTGCTAAATATGGATTCAGTGCAATAACGAAAGGAGTGCCTTCATTCATTACACTGCCCATTAATACTTCGACATCATGAAATTTGCCGGTGTCAATATCGTAAAATGGATCGTCAGATAGTAATGGAGGACCGACTTGTGGATGATAATATAGTATTGTTTGTTGTCGTTTAATCAATCGCTTTTCAGCTTCAACAATTTCATGTGCACTCTTTTCTCTCATACATGTTAACATATCAGATACGTTGCAGCCTACTTCCTGTGAAAGCATGACCGTATTTTCTCTGTTGAATGTAGTATTCACAGCATAATATTCTTGATAATTGCTCCCGCTTTGCAAAATTACTCTGTTGAATAAGCCTTTAGTAAGCGGCGATATCATGTGATGTGCGATAGAGATAGCTCCCGTACTCTGGCCGAAAACAGTTATCAAATTTTTGTCACCTCCGAATGTTTCGATATTTCGATGCACCCATTTGAGAGCCATTACTTGATCTAACATGCCCATATTTCCTCGTGCGTCTTCGTTATTAAAATTTGCGAAGCCTAACGCAGTAACGCGATAATTGAATGTAACTACAATGACGTTTCCCACTGCCGCAATTACAGCGCCGTCATGCAGATTCATATTGGCAGATCCCATGTTAAATGATCCTCCATATATCCAAACCATAGTAGCAAGTGGTTTTTCATTTGGCTTTAAGCTTGGTACCCAAATATTAAGATAGAGACAATCTTCGCTGAGTTCTTTAGGATTGCGATTGATCCATTCTAATATCGGGAAAGGTGGATCTTGCATGCAGGATGGAGATTTTCGTGTTGCATTATATATGATATTTGATTTATAGTGAACAGGTTGAGGTTCTTGAAACCTTAGCTGATCAACTGGAGCTACGGCGTAAGGGATGCCGAAATATGCATAAAGTGTAGTGTTTAATACTTGTATTGTATTTCCGTTGAATTTACCGTATGTTGGAGAATTATTGCTGTTTTTGAAGAACTGTAATATAATGATCATTGCATAGACAATTTTTGCTGTCAAAGACTTCATCTTTAATTCTGAAATATAATTAAAAATTCAATTTAATCTTTATTATACAGTATTAAACAAATTTGTTATATCTGATATGTTTGCCACATATTGTAATAACGAATTATGGAATTCAATTACAACATTTATCATTGAATTATAAATTACTCTTATTTATATCTGTTATTAAGAAATTTGCATAAGCCAATTTTATTTTCAATTTACAATGTGATTCAATAAAATCTCGCTTTCTTATAATCCTGTTCACTAAGGTTAACATGCTTTGTGCAATGATATGCTGATACAGATTAATGCGCTGTGTAAACTTTCTGTTACTTCTTTTTAGACATTTTATCAGGCGCAACTAGTATGCAAATATTTCGCTTTAGATCTGCATGTCTCTAGGAATACGTCAAACCTTTCCAGTCTAGTGTTTGCTGACAACGTTACGATACTATTGAAATTTGAAATAATCCGCTAGCGTGAAACACTGACAAATCAAACTACTAAACATTTTTATAGGCGAAAATTGTAAAGGGAAAGGGAAAACAATATGTTTGAGTTTGCTTTTTCTTTAATGTGACAACCGCCATCTCCCTTCTGCGTGACTATGTTTTAGGTCGGCACATATTATGCCCTGTCGTACAACCTTAATCTTGCTACCAATTCACGAAAAGTTCGATTTTGTTATGAAATGAACCACTTTTATTATGCTATTAACAAGAGAGAAAGGCTGCCAGATATGTAGTGAAAACTATGTCATGACGTTAACTTTTTATTTAATGCATAAAAAGATATAATAAATATCGATCAACTACTAAATTTTGAGAATCATTTATGAAAATTAAACGGTGGTTTTATTCAGTTTGACTTGTCATAATCTTTCAGACAACCCCGACCAAGCAATGTGTGGAATACTACAGTAGATAACTTTTAAGTAACTGAAAAACCCAAAAGACTAGATTGAATATAAAACCTGCAAACATAGCATCACGAAAGCTGCACGGCAAAGGCAGACAGGTTTCAAGAAAATTTCCTGTAAAATGACATTTTGTAATAAGTTAATTAAATTATTTAAATAAAAAAAAAAATTATGGAACAGGTCAATCCTATATTCCAGTGTTTCTCAAAATGGGCGATAATGCCCCTTTGTGGGCGGTGAGGAAATCTAGGGGGTGATGGAGGCAGGGTACTGGACGGTGACCAAAGGCAAAAGTCGGGTTCACTGACAGCCGTTCTCTTTCCTCTGTTAAACGGATAAAAAAAACATTGCGTTTAATGGTTTCCAGATGTTGAGGACAATGTACGGTAAGAGCACAAAGTGTGAGATTCATAAAAAAGTTTTCCTAAGAATATTTCTAATCCTTTCTCTCACAATAGAAAATGGGTTAGGGGGCGTTGGGTATAACTTTATGGAACAAAGGGGTCGGGGGATCGAAAAAGTTTGGGAATCACTGTCTATTCCATTGTAAATTACAACTTGTACTTTGTTTAAAAAATTGCTGGCGAACGTTATTCAAGAATACGAGCAATATGAAAATAGTTCGTTTGATTCTCGGCAATTCTCATCATTCTCAGCGGTAGGTGTTATATAACAATTACTATTGTCATTGAAATATTGAATGTAAATGGGGTTTGCTTGCAAAACCTCCGCGGACGAAGTCGCGGGTAACAGCTAGTAAAATAAATAAAAATGAGATATGTTGAGTGTTTTTTCGATAAAAGCGTTAAAACACAATAGTAGACTACTTACCTAACATCACAAAAACACGAGTAAAACTTTAATTTATACAAAACACATTAATAAAAAAGGTGTATCACAGGTTACAGTATGACAACGATCGAAACGAGACGTCATGTGCCTAACGCAGGTTTATATAACATGCCAGACGTTACTTCGTTTCCGGCAATTGCGAATCGCTTCGAAGTTCGGAACTGTGCAGGTTTATCGCTAGCAAAAAAATTTTGCCACCAATCGTATTCCCGCTAGTTGTCGCGTGGTTCTTGTTGTTTTCAAGATGGCTATAGAAATTTTCTCACGCAATAGTGTAAATGTTGTAATTCGGATTTTTAATATTCCTCTCACCCAGCGTCGATTTCTTTTTGACGTATCTTTTTTCATCAAATAAATAATCAAGCGTGGTTAGCAATCAATTTGAATATCGGAAGCAGCCATTTTGTTTTTCGAGATGACATTTTCTCTCGCTTGCAATTGATTGGATAATTAAAATTCGCAACCGCTTTTCGCTTTTCTCATTTGCTTTTACTATTCGCTCATTATGAACTAAGCTTAAGTCATTTGTGACCTTTCACTTTTTCTTTAAGCTTTTATTAAATGATCATGCCATAGCCTGGAGACTTATCTTTAAACTTTTTTACTTATTTTTGTTTAATTAAAAAAGAAACATATATCCAGAATGTTGGGCTACGATTTTTAATTTATTTAATTTAAATTACATGCTCTCTATTCAAGAAATAAAATATGAGTATTCAAAATAAATTTAACAAGAGCTTCGTAGTATTTTAAATGTCAGCGCGCGCTCAATTTGCGTTTTACAAAGCAACGTTTTCCCACTGGCTTAGCATGGCAATCAATTTCACCTTCCCGATATCTTCTAGATCGAATATTTACATTTTTTTACTCTCTCACTGCACGCCACTTTGTTAGTTCTATTAATATGCAAACTTCGTTCAAATTGATTACGTCATTGCTTCGCAAAATGTGACCTGTTTTGGCGATCGGTCAATTTGAGCCTGTCCAAGATAAGTTGCTCACTTCGCGCGCTAGGCTTCAATAACTACTAACAAAATATACGGGGATAACGACGACCTTTTAAACCATAACTGCTTTGAGTACTGAAATCCTATTTAGTTGAAAATTTCTGTACTCATAATAGTTTTCTTTTTTCAAAAATTCAATATATATGTCACTCGTTATAAATATGATATTTTAAAATTTATTCTAACATACTTTAAATCGTTTCTTAATAGTGATATTAAGTATTTAATATCAGTTATAACTAGACATATTTTTTTATTTTATAAAATATCAACTATTTCTATTTTTAACTACTATACTACTAGCAACATAAAGAGATCAAAATCTATAATTGACATACAATTTTGGAAATTGTAGAATCATTACAACACAGTTCTATCACAAACTATGTTAATAAACAGACACAAGGAAACCAATACTGAGAAAGTGTTGGTTTCCTTTTGTCGGAAAGGAATTTAATGTGAGATCGATATTTAAGTCTACTTAAAGGTAAAAACTATTTTAAAATAGGCCTATGTATGTAATTTTGAAACCTTGAAAAGGAAAGAAAATTTCAGAATTTCATCGGTCTTTTTCCGTGTACGTATTTATCCCTTCGATAATATCATTAATAATAATTGCCTGGTGATAAGATCAAAGTGATTTTTATTTTTTAAAAGTACCTTTCCTTTTGAATGTTGTAAAATTACATTTATGGTTTTAAATAACTGTTTACTTTTAAATAAGCTTTAATATCGATCTGACGTTAAATTCCTTTACGTTTTCTCAGTGTTGGTGTAACATAGTTCGTTATATTATATACCTTGAAACCGTGTTGTAATCATACAACAATTTCTAATATTTTATATAAATTATACCTTTAGCTATTCTGTCAAGTGGTCACAACAACGCAAGTGTTTCTGAACCTTTGTGTTTCTAGTAGTATCTAATATTTGGTAAAAATAGAAACAGATGATATTTCAGAAGATAAATATAATCTATTTAGTTATAACTCATATTAAATACTTAATATAACTTTTAAAAAAACCATCTAAAGTGTGTTATAATTAATTTGTGAAAATGTATTTATATCACAATATATATAAAATAAACCACGAGTCATATATATTGAATTTTTGGAAAAAATTCAATATATATGACAATACTTTTTGGGTTGGTTAACATTTCATCATAATAACGCGTAAATTACATGTTTTAACTTCTTGAATACGGCAACGCGACATATGGACAATTTGCTGATGAAGAATGCTCTTGGAAGAACATTTTATGAGAAAACGATGTTATGTAGTGTTACACATTTGGAAAGAACTCCATAAAAGTCTACCTAGCCAGCCTATTGGTGAGGCAGAAACTTAGGAAAGTGGAAGAAACCAAAGTTTGATGGCTTTATACTGGTGGACTACGTATGAAGGAGGAAGCGAAAGCAAGGTAAAGGTCGTAATACTATTTTTTTTTTAAATATAAATTTGTATAATTTAGTAGCAGGAATTGTAAATTTTCATTAAATAAAACATATTCATAAATATAGTACGTGTATATTACAAATCTCTTTGACTATAAATATTTTTCTAAAATTTGAATGTGTTTAGGGTCAAAATTCGTCGACATAACATGAATTTCTAAAGTTGCTTGTGATTTTTCATCACTCTTTATCTATTATCATATTTAATTGTAGATGAAAGATTAAAGTTATTTAAATATTTCTGAAATTTTTTTAATAATAGGAAATAATGCAAACTTATTAAGCATGATTTTTCTTATACTATTTTAGTACAAAATATAAATGCGTCGAACGAAAAAAAAACTTATATTTTCTCGACAAATAGTTATTAATTAATTTATAAAACGGGTATAAGTATAGGCCTACAAGTAAAATACAGTTATTATTAAAATATGCTTTTTGAATCATTATTTTATCATTAATAATAATATGATGCTTTAAAACATATTCTTAGTTTTTGGAGTGAGGTGCGTGACTGTAATCTGATCACCTAAACTCAGAAAGTGGGTCGACATTCATCCAAGCTCTAAAAAATTATCAACGATATTGGTAAAAAGAAATTTTAATTTATTTAAGAAATAATCTATATTAATGATGGTGAGGGAAATATTAACATTTATCTCATACAACAAATAGATAACAACTGGAAGGACTTTTAGTTATTTTTCCTGATATGGTTGATAAAAAAATTACCGATACAGATCTAAACCTTCGAATAAAATGAATAATTTAAAAATATTTTTAGAGGAATGAAGTAGAGAAAAAACAAATAAAGTTTATCATTGTGTTGTTAAATTCTTTTTACTGCTCTGTATTTATTTCTATACTTGTTATTACTGTCTTGTCCCTGTACTGTACAGTACATCTTACGTTTCCTGATACAAGTAGAGTCTGCCTGGTCATTTATCTAACTCTTCCGTCCTGGAGAAAATTTTGAATTAAAATAACGTAACTTTCGGTTTGAATGTTCATACATAGGTAATCGGGACACCTGTCCCTAAGCTTTCCATATTTAGTGTTCACTTTCATTTATCTAACTTTGCTCTCGAGATTAAGGAATTGACAGACGAGACAGACAGCAGAGGGCCACTAGTGGTAATTTATAGTTCTATGATTTCAAAATTGCTACGCAATTAACTAACGATAGCAATGTATCGACAACGCAAGATAAAATTACATTACATTAGATAAAACGAAGGTAAACTTTTATTTTTATAAAATTAACAAATTTGTACAGTACATTTATAATATATCGTCTATTACACTTTTTAACAAGAATGTGTGACGTTTTAAAATTTTTATTTAATTTACATTATTTATAGGTAATGTAATTACAAAAATAATGTAAGTCGTAAGTGATTAGTAATACAAAAGAATTTTTGCATTTACTAAACTTACCAAAACTCTACCGTCATATCTCCACCTTACCGCTCCATCTGCTTCCCTTATCCTCCACAGCCATATCTTTAGGCTATTTTTCTAACTTCGTATTGCTTCAAAGTCCAGGTTTCGTCAACATGGAGGAAAACACTGCAGATGTAGCATTTTGACCAGCCTTTTTATCAATTCTAATTTCAAGGTCCATACAAAATTGTTTTTATTTTGGTAAATGCCTTATTCGCCATACCAATTCTTGTCTTGGTTTGTTTCCCACTTCTGCACTCAGAATCATGTCAAGCACCCAGGTATCTAAACCCGTTCACTTGTTTCACTTTGTCATTATTTATACAGATGTGGAACTTTCTTTCCTTTTCTCCGATCCATACCGCTTTACTCAAGACCAAAGTGGTATAAATCGAAAAACCACATTAATTTTCATTATGAAGGCCGCGCATCTCTCCAGTTCATTCAGGATCTTTCTCATTTTACCTTCTCTTCCACATTTCCGCCAGAATAGCCATATCATCAGCATACTTTAGGCACTAAAGCTGCCTTCCCCGATTTTTATGCCTTCCTCTTCCACAAGATTTTCCATAATAAACTTGTTCAAGTATATGTTGAATGGAAGCGGAGATAGGCAGCATTCTTGCCTAATATCCTTTTCAACCTTGATTTTCTCGCTGTATTGACTATCTACTTTAACTACTGCTATGTGATATTCGTACTGTACAAGTTGAGTATTGATCTGCTGTCTTTCCAATATACTCCTTTCTTTCTCAAAATATCCGTCAACCTTTCCCAGTCAACAATATTTGTCTTGAAGGGTGAGCAAACGAAACTTTTTGTTGGGCAAACGAACGGCATATTTATTTTCAAAAAAGCTGTTAGGAGTGTCAACTACACGGACATCAATCCTATTCGTTCTTCTTCAGGTTATATTTTCTCTTTTTATTTCACTCGGCAACTGCGGTATAATACCAAGACAAATATTTACAAAACAATACGAAATATCTGTCACATTAAATTTCATATGTACTAGAATAAGAAAATAATAATAATTTTTGCCAGAGCAACGTACAGTACAAATCTGTCCGTACTAGGCGGAATTATTCCGTTAAATTGTGCGATTCGTCTTCTGTATCCTGCATAATGAGTCCTATTACCTACTACATCATACGTTGAAGGTGAAATCCTTTCGATCATTCGTGCAATCTGCCCATTGCTTTTTCTATGTCCAACACATATCTAAAATTAATCCGCAAATAGTTGCAGTGTTTCTGTATTTGTGATACGCACATTCTTATTTGTGAAATCTCTTGACTAATATCTGCCATGAAGTTTAAGACAATATTTAGCTGGCACGATAGACTCTAAGTGTAACAAGTGAAATCTTATGTTTTCATGGTTACGTCTGAAAAGGGGACTTGTATATAAGAAAAAAATTTAAAGAATTTAATTCGGTGATAGTATTTATAAATAACTCCGTTGTGTTAAAAATCTCTACAAAATATATAATATTTTATGAATTATTATCTATTAATTATTATCAATATGTTAAAGGCGTAAATTCATTTACATTATTGTCGTGGATTTTCAGATTGTGTATTATTTACGATAAATTAAATAGTTTCAGAATATAAAATAAATAGTTTCAGAAAATAAATAGAAAATTGATGTAAACTGTCATTAAATCTATATCAAATTAAAACACAACGGAATGTATAAAAATTATATTACCGTATGCCTATAAAAAAGGAAGATGTAATGAGAGCTAGAAAGATAAAGTGATTTATATACTAGGAAATAAAATATATAAAACTATCGAGCTAAAATTATATGTTTCTTTTACTTTAATTCATATTCCAATACTTGCATTTATAGTTTTCTATAACTATGTAGCTACTTGTTGAAATTGAATTAATACTTATTCTGCGGAAGCCTTATTTCTAAACCTTAAAGGAAACGTTTCCTTACTTCTAGATATAATCAAGCAGTATTTAATATTAAGACATAAAAAATGTTTGGAAGATTTGCATTGTTTTTCATTTTTGTAAGCCTTGACATAAATAAATGTTAAACTGAGTCTAAATTTATCTGCAGCACCCTCACGCATGTAGACTTTTCAAACGTTAAATACATTAATTACAGGAAATTTCTACAAATATGAATTCCGATATTTTTCTCGACATATTTATGTTGCTTCTAGGTACAACTGAAATATGTCAGTTTATAAAACAAAAGTGAAAAGTCACCGCGAAACAGTTAGATATTATAATTCAAAGATAAACAGTTAAATTAATTTAATTACTTAAAATAAAGTTACATAATATTAAATATAATTATATATTAAACACATTTAAGAAATTCATGTCATTGACGAAGTATAAAATTTAATTTTCTTTACCTTTATATACGAACAAACGCCACTTCCATTAGCGCTTAATTCTCAAATAACTGATCGAAAAGAGTAGAAAAAGTGGAAGGATAAATGCCTAAAATCACTGTTCACGTGTCAATAGAAATTCCTGGAAATTATGTTAATTGCTCGAAGCAATTGTGATGGTGAGGGAAATATTAACATTTATCTCATACAACAAATAGATAACAACTGGAAGGACTTTTAGTTATTTTTCCTGATATGGTTGATAAAAAAATTACCGATACAGATCTAAACCTTCGAATAAAATGAATAATTTAAAAATATTTTTAGAGGAATGNTATAGTAATAAATGTGTAGACGTTAATTACAGTCTTTTGTTTCCTTTCTTTCCTCGTTTACTATTGTGTCCCTGTGACATCAGATTGCTGCAAGAATTTCAATAATAACGTAAAAATTTAATAGAGGAAATGTCGTTGATATAACATTGCTTTTATAGCTTGATTATATTAAATACTTTAGAGTATATACGGAAACAAGATATACAATTTATAGCTTAGAAATGAACCTTTTAAAACATGTTATCCTTGTCAATTGATATCAGATTTTATTGGCAAGAAAACAAGTTTGGCAGGTATGTTATTTCGACAAGACCAAAAATTCTATAAAATTACTGCATATTCAATCTAAATATATTATATTTAATCCGGAAATACATAAATTTATCACATTAAATTTTATATTATCAATTACGGTAATACAGTAAAACATGTGTAAAACAGAACCTGAATATAACGAAAATCGGCTGCCTAAATGGAAAAAACTTTCAATGTCAAATTTTCAATGTCAAATTTTTCAATAAAACAGAAACCCGTTTAAAGCGAAACCGAATATGTTTCATGTTAGGAAAGACTTTATTTAACACGAACGAGCAATTATTTATTTATTATCAAATTGTCATAATGCGGCTTGCAATTTTTAATCGTATTTTAAATTTATTTAATGTGAAATGAATGCTCTCTACCTGAAATTAGTACAGTAGCGTCTTGCCCCTGTAAATTATACTTTTCCTTTTAGCAATAGAGTCATGCCGGTTATCTATCTAACACGTTTCGGGGAAAAATTTCTGAATTAAAATAACGTGATTTCTGATTTGTATCAGATGATAGCTAATCGCGTCACTCGTCTACTAGTCCTTCCCCTCTCTTGCCTCGCATTTTATCTGTTTAAATCCGTTCACGAGTTTAAGATAGGACAGCCAGGCAGACAGACGACCGTGGAAATTTATAGGTCTGCAACTTTTTTAAATTGAAGCCCAACATCTATAAAATAATATGTTGAAGTTTATAACGATTCTTGTTTTAACAAACAAATCACAAATTATACTGAATATAATTTTTTTCTTAATAGATAATTAGAGATATATGATTATATTTCTCCTTGAATCATTTTTCCTAGTACTTTTGTAATATTTTAAAAATATCTTGACAATAAATTAATTTTATTGTATTGCTTGACAGTTTTCTTCGCTTAATTCTTTTTAAAAATGTTATCTATATATATAAAATTGCTTGTCCTGACTGACTCACTGATTCATCATCGCCCAGAGCAAACCGCTGGACCTAGAAAGGTGAAATTTGGTACACAGTTAGGGTACGTCATGAAAACGCACAGTAAGAAGGGATTTTTCGAAATTCCTAAGTGGGGGGTGAGGGAGAGCATTAAGGCTTAACCGGAATAACGGTTTCTACTGTACTATTTTAGATGCGATTTTTTGTTTTTATCTGTGTTTTAGTAGGGTACGCCATGGCAATGCACACTAAGAAGGGATTTTGAGAAATTCCCCTGCGGGGGGGTGAGGGAAAGCATTAAGGTTTAACCGGAAGAACGGCTTCTACTGTACTATTTTAGATGCGATTTTTTGTTTTCAACTACGTTTATTCTTCATTGAGTACTTAGGTGTATTAAATTGATAACATTTCAGACATTGTTATAAATATTTTTATCTATATTGATTTTTAAAATGTTCGAACCGTTTTAAATTCGAATTTGTTATTGCATATTGGTTCTATTATAGAACGATTGTAAACGTTCCAAAGAAATTGATCAAATTGAAAATAGTTCGTTTGATTCTCAGCAATTCTCTTCAGCGGTAGGTGTTATATAACAATTATTATGGTTATTGAACTATTGAATGTAAATTGGGTTTGCTTGCAAAACCTCCGCGGACGAAGTTGCGGGTAACAGATAGTAATAATATAATCGAGACGAGTTGATAATGATATATAATCGATATATAGTTGATATATATATATATATATATATATATGTTGTTGATTACNAAGCAGAGTTCTTTACGGTAACCTTTTCCGTAAGGCTTACCGTAAAGAACTGTCCATCCCCCATGTTTAACGGAATAATATATAGCCTATGTCCACCCTGAAGTTCCATTCTAAATATTTCTTTAAGAATTTTTGAAATCGGATGAGTAGCTTCGGAGATTACCTGCTGCATACAAACTAACATACATACATACATACAAACATTACCTCTTTATAATATTAGTATAGATATATAATCGAGACGGGTTGATAATGATAATAATCTTCCATATTTCGAAACCGTGTTGTATCTTTATATCTGTTTAAAAACTGCAATGTAGCACAGTAATTAACACATGGCATAACTCATTCATTTATTCCAGCTTTTGTTGAAGCTGGAATAAATGAATGAGTTATGCCATGTGTTGATTACTGTGCTACATCGCAGTTTTTAAACAGACAAATGATAATAATAATAATAATAAGCGCAGAGCCCAAACGGTTAGGAGCTGAAAGTTGAAACTTGGTACACGGTTAGGGTACGTCACGAAAACGCACACTAAGAAGGGATTTTTCGAAATCCCCCCGGGGAGAGAGACAGGATTAAGGTTTCGACAATGGAAGTGTGTGAGACTAATCGAGGGTAGGATGTTTACGAGTTCTTCACTCTCCTACCTCTTACTCGACTCAAGACCTTGAGGTCCGGTCTTGCTTGTCTAAAGGATGGGAGAAAAAGGGTTAGGGGAAAGGATCGTTAGATTCTCTCACCTGTCAGGATCTGACACCAATCTATCAATTTATCGCGGATAGATACGCGGTCAATTTGATGGGGAAATTGTCACGAGCGGTCTCGTCGAGGACTTCGGGTTCAGTGTGGAGTGGATAATGTCGGAAGAAACGCACACCAATCCAAGTTCGTTAACAAAATACCCTTTATTAGTATACATTTTTTCATAGTTAATTATTGGAATACAAATCCCTCTCGGGGGTTCAATCCGTATAGTTCATAAGTAGCGGGCAAATTATAAATTAGTCGCGATCCTAACCGCGAGTTTGGAATAGTCGAATAGCGAGAGAGAGCTTACATATCATCGCGAGTAGAATAAATACCTCGAGTTAAACCGTGGATGTAGTTTCTTGTTCTCCTGGGTTCGGAATATAGTCCAAAGTTCAAATCAGTCAAAGTTCAAAGTCTGTTGAAGACGGTGGCGACGAGAGGCAGGTAATCCACACACACACACACACACAGTATAGAAAATAACTTATTTCCCCCTTGTGTCGTCATCGCACTTGCCTTTTATATGGGGGCTCCGTTTTCGAGATTTCCCCATGTACGTCACAGGTGATGATCTTCTTTGACCAATGGTAGGCGAAGTGACAAAATTATGACACAACAGTTAACTCATCCCCTACAAGGAAGTATCCCCGTGGGAACAGAATTTTATGAGCGATTTTTATGAGAAAATTTGTCGGTTGTTTTTCTTGTTTGGAGTTAACCCTAACTTTTAATCTAACTTTTAACCTAATGAATAAAAATGAATATAACTATTCGAATCTCGGCCCTCTTAAATCCTGGCCCTCACAAGTGTTAACAATGGCAGTGTTAACAATGGAAGTGTCAAGTAACAATGGAAGTGTCAAGTAACAATAGAAGTGCTAAGTAACAATGGAACTGCTAAGAATGGAAGTGTCAACAATGGAAGTGTTACGTAACAATGGAATATCTAAGAGAAAGCGACGTGCAAGACGCAGATGCATTTTTTTCGTTTTTGCCGGAAATCGAACATATTTTTAGACCCATCTAAAAATTCTCTAATTAGTCCGGAAACAGGGGGACCCAATTCTTGCATTCTGTGAAAACGGGTAAGGTTGACTATAACGTAATAATTTTGATCTTCGCTATCGTTACTTTTGCCCGAGCAACGCCGGGCCTACCTGCTAGTTTTTAATAAGTCTGATGTTATTATTTCTTTCGTTATAATTACGGATATTTCGATATTTCGATATTATTTTATTTATATACGAATAAAATATATTATAAACTTGAATTTTTCTTCAACAAATATACAAATGTTTACGTGTGTATTATGCAATTTTTCTGCGTCAAGGAAAAATTAACATTATGTTACCATTCGGTTTGGAAGTCAGGTAAAATTATAATAATTTCGTACTTCTAAACATTCCAAATATTCTATGATTCGCTGAAGGTTATTGAAACGTCTACAACTTTGAAAACTATTTTTATATTCGTCAGACGAACGTTAATTATTCCACGTTTGATGTAATTGCTTTTGCACAGATGATTAACTTCTATAATTACAATCAAAACAGCTTTAATATAAAAAAAGAAAACCACAAAAAATAACAGAAATAAAATTTTAACCTGCAGACAATTTATAATTCTTTTTTTTTATTACAGACGAACACAAGTCCGTGCAATATAAGTTTTTAGCTTTTTGTAACATAAATATGTAAAACTAGCTGTTACCCGCGACTTCGCCCGCGGAGGTTTTGCAAGCAAACCCTATTTATATTCAGTATTTCAACAACCATAGTAATTGTTATATAACACCTACCGCTGAGAATGATGAGAATTGCCGAGAATCAAACGAACTGTTTTCAATTTGATCATTTTTCTGGAACGTGTACAATCGTTCTATAATCAAACCAATAAGCAGAAAGAAATTCGAATTTAAAACGGTTCGAACATTTGGCTAAAAAATCGAAATATATAAAAATATTTAAAACAATGTCTGAAATGAAATTCTCTCTCTCTCCCCGCTGGGGAATTTCGACAAATCCCTTGTTAGTGTACGTTTCTATG